CGCGGATCCAGTCGATCAGCACCTCAGTGACAGCACCCTTGCTGCGCAAGGGGAAGACTGAGGTGTAACGCGAGTAGTCGTCAACCACCAACAGGAAGTAGCGCTCGTGACCCTGCCCACGGACGGGGGCCGGGCCCCACACGTCCATGTGAAGCGTCTGCAGAGGAGCCTCTGTCGGGGGAAACTGGGAGGAGTGAGGAGCAGCCCTGAGGCGCCCCTCGACACAGGGGACACAGGAAGGTCCTGGTCCCGAAGGAAGGGGAGGGAGAGACTGGGGAAGACCAGAGACAAGGACACGGGAAGCCATGCCCCGAAGACGGGGCAAGGAGGGGTGGCCTAGACGGTGGTGCCACAGAAGAGTCTCGTGAGACAGGAGGCGACACGAACAGGGGGCAGACTCAGGACCAGACCTGGACGCAGCAGCAAACACCTGACCCGACGCTGCTACCTGACCGGACGCGGGGACAGGAGGAGACTCAGTGGTCAGGGTGTAGAGGCTCGACCCCGGCCGACGCGAGAACGTGGCCAGGTGCCGGCCTGTGCGTGCGTCCGTGCAGTGGGTCACCCGCTGACTCGCAGGAGTGAACTGGTGAACCCCCGCATCCTGTAGGTCTGCACCACTCACCAAGTTCGTCGAGAACGAGGGGAGGTACAGGCCAGACAGGGTGCCCGAGGGGGCAGCCGGACACGGGAGGACAGTGGAGAAGTGAGCGAGGACAGGACCCCCAGAGGGGTCAGCCAGGGAGACAGCAACCGGCCGACCAAGCGGCGTGAGTGTGGTGCGGTCCCGAAAGAAGGAGCGAGAAGCCCCAGAGTCAAGTGTAAAGGTGAGGGAGGCCGAAGCCAACGCGGTACCTGAGAGCGCAGCCTCACCCGCACCTGAGGAAGCAGACTCACTAGCACCTAGAGCAGCAGCCGCACCTGTACCTGGAGCAGGAGACTCACTAGCACCCAGAGCAGCAGCCGCACTAGTAGCTAGAGCAGCAGGTCCTATACCTGGGTCAGGCGGGACGCACAGGTGACCGGCACGGTCAGCACTAGTAGGCAATGCATACATGGCAGTGAGAATAGCATCATAGTCAAGAGCATATATATCTACCCTCTGCCTAAGCAACTCCACCCAGTCGGGGAGCTCAGCCTCGTCGCCAAACACGGTACGCCAGGCGTCGCTCAGACGGGCGAAGCAGCGGGACGGTGTATGACTACGTGTCCCACAAGGCTGACCAGTCCGAGTACTAGTGCGAATCACGTAAGAGCAGCGAACAGCACTGAGAGACCCTCCACTCTGAGCGTACCACTCACGAAGCTGGCGAGGCGTGAGAGACACGCGAGAGGGTCGCGGGAGCTGCATCCGGCCGCCACCACGAGTAGAAGCAGCAGGAGTGGAAGTAGGAGTAGCGTCGCCACCCCTACAGCCCCAACCAGCGTACCACTCACGCAGCTGCTGGGGCGTGAGGGACTCACGCAGGCGTCGCTGGGGCTGCATCTGGCTCCGCAAGTAGAAGCAGGAGCAGGACTAGCAGCAGGAAGGCAGGCAGCCAGGCAAGCCAAAAGGCAGGCAGGCAGGCAAGCAGGCGACGTGAGCGTGCTAGCAGGGCAAGAGCTCACCAGTGGTGGGAAGAGTAGGCTCGGCGACTCAGCGGCTCGGCAGCTCGGCGGCTCGGCGGCTCGGGCGACTCGGGCGGCTCGGCGGCAAGGCGGCTCGGCAGCAACTGCAGCTCAGCAGCTCGGTGACTCGGCGGCTCGGCGGCAGGGCGGCTCGGCAGCAACTGCAGCTCAGCAGCTCAGCGACCCGGCGGCTCGGCGGCAGGGCGGCTCGGCTGCTGGGCGGCTCGGGTGCAGGGCGGCTCGGCGGTGGGGCGGCTCGGCTGCTGCAGGTGAGCGATGAAGGAGGAGGAGAAGCAGGGGAGGCCACACACCTGCCACCCCTCTGCTGGCCTCTCAGGTCGCCTCGACAGGCGACGGGAAAAGGGGGGGTGGGTGGTGGGGGCCGGTAGGTGCAGCGGCGGGGCCAGCAGGTGCAGTTGCGGGGCCGGTAGAAGGGGACGGCAGGAGCCGTCAGGAGGGGACGGCGGGGCCGTCAGGAAGGGACGGCGGGGCCGTCACGATGGGACGGCGGGGCCGTCAGGAGGCGACCGGGCCGCGACGGGGGGAGGCGGCGGGACCACGTAAGGGCCTGGGCGGGGCCGCGACAGAGCCGTCGGCGGGGTCGCGTGAAAGCCGGGGCGGGGCCGCGTAGAAGCCGGGGCGGGGCCGCGCGAGAGCAGGCGGCGGGGCCGCGAAGGAGCCGGGGCGGGGCCGCGTGAGAGCAGGCGACGGGGCCGCGTAAGGGCCTGGGCGGGGCCGCGACAAAGCCGTCGGCGGGGCCGCGTGAAAGCCGGGGCGGGGCCGCGTAGAAGCCGGGGCGGGGCCGCGCGAGAGCAGGCGGCGGGGCCGCGAAGGAGCCGGGGCGGGGCCGCGTGAGAGCAGGCGGCGGGGCCGCGTAAGGGCCTGGGCGGGGCCGCGACAAAGCCGTCGGCGGGGCCGCGTGAAAGCCGGGGCGGGGCCGCGTAGAAGCCGGGGCGGGGCCGCGCAAGAGCAGGCGGCGGGGCCGCGAAGGAGCCGGGGCGGGGCCGCGTGAGAGCAGGCGGCGGGGCCGCGTAAGGGCCTGGGCGGGGCCGCGACAAAGCCGTCGGCGGGGCCGCGTGAAAGCCGGGGCGGGGCCGCGTAGAAGCCGGGGCGGGGCCGCGCGAGAGCAGGCGGCGGGGCCGCGAAGGAGCCGGGGCGGGGCCGCGTGAGAGCAGGCGGCGGGGCCGCGTAAAGGCCGGGGCGGGGCCGCGACAGAGCCTGCTGCGGGGCCGCGTGAGAGCCGGCGACGGGGCCGCGTAAGGGCCGGCGGCGGGGCCCCGTCAGAGAGGGCGGCGGGGCCGCGTCAGTGAAAGCGGCGGGGCCGCAGGGAAAATGACGACCCGAGGGGTCGCTAAAAAAAATCGCGCCTCGGGGGGCGCTTCGGTGGGCCCAAAAAAACGGTCCGTAGAAGGACCCGCTCTATACCATGTGAGAATAAGCGAACAGGAATGAATGAACTAGCAGTGAAATGAGTACAAGTAGGAAACCCTAGAATTGTGTACCCCCTATAGGCTACCCCACTGTAGCCTACACAAGCAGAACATATATAATGTTTGACACGTGGCTGCGTTAGTTTGGTCCTATTACCAAGCCAGCAAGGGTTTCGGAGGGTTGCGAGCATCATCGGCCATCTGCGCTCGCAAATGGAGAGCGCCCGCAGCCCTTCCTGTACATGTACGGATCCTTCCGCGTTTGGGGCTGGAAGCGCTCGTTCCGAGCGTATTTCTTCCGTCGCTTCACGTGGCTGCGCCAGTCTGGTCCTAATACCAAGCCAGCAAGGGCGTGGGAGGGTTGCGAGCATTATCGGTCATCGGCGTTCGCGAATGGAGAGCGCTTGCTGCACTTCCTGCACATGTACGGATCCTTCCGCGTTTTGGTGATGGAAGCGCTCGTTCCGAGCGTTTTTCTTCCCCTGGGTCACGTGGCTGTGCTAGTCTGGTCCTATTACCAAGCCAGCAAGGGCTTGGGAGGGTTGCGAGCATCATTGGTCATCAGTGCTCGCGAATGAAGAGCGCCCGCTGCACTTCCTGTACATGTGCGGATCCTTCCGCATTTTGGGGTTGGAAGCGCTCGTTTCGAGCATTTTTCTTTTGCCGGGTCACGTGGCTGCACTAGTCTGGGCGTATTACAAAGCCAGCAAGGGCGTGAGAGGGTTGCGAGCATCATTGGTCATCGGCGCTCGCAAATGAAGTGTGCCCGCTGCACTTTCTGCACACTCGTGAATCCTTCCGCATTTTGGGGCTGAGTGCGCTTATATCAAGCGTTCGTTTTCCGCTTGGTCACGTGGCTGCGCTTGTCTGGACCTATTACGAAGCCAGCAAGGGAGTGGGAGGGTTGTGAGCATCATCGGTTATCGGCGCTCGCGAATGAATAGCGCCCGCTGCACAGCCTGCACATGTGTGGATCCTTCCGGAATTTGGTGGTGGAAGCGCTCGTTCCCAGCGTTTTTCTTCCGCTGGATCTCGTGGTTGCACTTGTTTGGGCCTAATTTCAAGCCCGCAAGGGCGTGAGAGGGTTGCGAGCATCATCGGTCATCAGCGCTCGCAAATGAAGAGCGCCCGCTTCACTTCATGCACATGTGCGGATCTTTCCGTGCTTTTTTTATTGCTCGTTCCAAGCGTTTTTCTTCCGCCGGGTCACGTGGCTGCGCTTGTCTGTGCCTATTTCCAAGCTAGCAAGGGCTTGGGAGGGTTGCAATCATCATCGGTCATCGGCACTCGCGAATGAAGAGCGCCCGCTGTACTTCCTGCACATGTGCGGATGCTTCCGCATTTTGGGGCTGGAAGCACACGTTCCGAGCGTTTTTCTTTCGCGTGATCACATGACTGCGCTTGTCTGGGCCTATTACCAAGCCAGCAAGGGGGATGGGAGGGTTGCGAGCATCATCGGTCATCGACGCTCGCGAATGAAGAGCGCCCGCTGCACTTCCTGCACATGTGTGGATCCTTCCGCATTTTAGGGCTTGAACTAACGCGTTATGTGTTCCTGATTTTGTCCGGAGGGATGCACATTCGCTCCTCTTGTATCACAAATGTTCCACCATCCACACCCTTAACCTTTCATGAACTCGCTGTTCTGTATGAATCATACACAAGAGGGGGATTCCATAAGCTTTGAATTCCCAATCAGCCATTCTATCCATAAGCGAGTGTGGTGCGATGTGGTATGAAGTGATTGTAAGTAAAACAGGGCTGACATCCAGGCAGGCAGCCTCGCCAAGGGCAGGACTCTGGAAGATCACAACTGCACTCACCCACCCACCCACCAATCTTTCACACCCACCATCCCAAACCCTTTCTGCCCCATGCTTCCTCAACTCAACCTCCCAGCTATGGTATGCTCCAAGCAGCAGCACCAGCAGCACCCATCAGCCACCCTCACTCCCCTCTCTGTCATCTTCGAGCCGAAGCCAACTCAGACCCAACCCGCGGGCGCCCTTTAGGGCTCTTCCTCGCCTTCTCAGCAATCTCCGCCACCTCAGCGTCCCGCACCCACCACTCCACCACCTCCCCCGCCCGCACCTCCCGCTGGCACGCTTTCCTCGTCTCCTCCGTCAGCAGCGGGTACCGGTTAAACCGCGCCTCACTAGCGTCCAAGTCGTCGCCGCCCATCTCCGGCACGCTGGTGCGGTGCACGAGGACCGTCATGACCTGCCGCGGGTCCACGGCGACGCGGCGGTAGCCGAATTCGCCGAGGCACATCTCGGCACGCGGGTACTCGTCCTTGTTTGTGCAGAACAGCTGCGGCCAGTGGAAGCGCATGCGCTCCACTGCCCATACCGGTGAGACTGCTGGGGGTGGTTGGGCGGCTGCTGCTGCTGTGGTGGTGGTGATGGTGGTGGTGGTAGCGGCAGTGGTGGCACCAGCGGCAGTGCCAGCAGCACCGCCTGTGCCGATGCCGCCACCAGCAGCACCGGCTCCACCACCAGATGCACCAACACCACCACCACCACCACCACCTCCTGCAGCACCAACAGAACCACCACCAGTACCAGCAACCGCAGCAGCAGCACCACCAGTAGCGCCTGCCGTCCCAGCAGTAGCAGCGCCACCGCCACCACCAGCACCAGCAGTAGCACCACCACCAGTGGTGCCAGCAGTGCGAACAGCATCAGCACCTGCATCTGCACCAGCTCCCGTGCCATTACCCATCGCTCTTAACGCCGACCCTCCTCCACCCCCCCCACCCGCCACACCAAGCAAGCTCCTCCCACCCGTACCCCTCCCTACCCCTCCCGCTACCCCTCCCCCAGCACCCTCCACCTGAACGCACTTCTCAAGGGACCACCACCGGCTCCCAAACGACACGTACGGCCGCCCCTCAAACCGGCTCAGCACCGCCGCCATATCCTCCCCGGACCTCGACGAGAAGTACTCGCTCAGCTCGGCAAAGAACACCCACTGGCTGGTGAACGCGTGCTGGTGCACACAGTCATTCATCGCCAGCAGCCGCCCGGACTCCCAGATGTCAAACTGCTCCACGCGCCGCATGTCCACGATCTGCACGTACCCGCCCTCCACAAAGCCCTCTATCAGCCCCATGATCTCCGGATCTAACGCCCCCGCGTCGTACAACACGACCCGGTCCACCCCCACGTGCAGATGGTACTCAATCCACTCGTAAACCCGCATGGGGATGAGCTTCGTGGCGAGCGGCGGCGAGCAGTAGGTGAGGCGGTGGGGGTAGGGCGGGGCAGGGTTGGCGGAGGGGTACTGGCCCTGGTCTTCTATGTACGAGACGATGTCCTCCTTGTCCACGGTTACCACGAGGATTCCGCCAAAGTCCTGCGCGGTGGACTCCTCTAGCTCGCACACCAGCACCACCGCCTCGTACCGCTTGTTGTGGTCGTCGCCAGGGTAGTAGGCTGCGCAGGGTGGGAGAGACGGGGTTTGGGGTGCGGGGGAGGAGATGTGGGGAAAAAGAGAGAGGTGGGGAGTGAGGGGGAGAGAAGTGTTCAGTGAAGAGGAGGAAAGATGTGGTTTGAGGAGGGGGAAGGGGAGAGGCATAGCTTCTCAAATGACTTTCATTCCATTTAAGTGCAACCACTCTCTTCATACTATAACTCCATCACGCATTCTCTGTTGACCCACTCCCCCTCACTTCCACTGCTATCTCCCTCCCAACCCCATCCTGCTCACCACCTTCCCCTATTCCATCCATCTCACCCATCTCCAACTCCTTCCCCCTTCTCAGGTTCACCCCCTTCTCAGGTTCACCCCCTTCTCAGGTTCACCCCCTTCTCAGGTTCACCCCCTTGTACCCCCATGGCCCTGTGCCTACCGTCCTTCTCCCACTGTCCTACCTCACCCTCCTCCATTCCCCCTCCCCCTTCCCCCATCTACCCCTCCCCCCTCCCTCCCCACTCACCAAAGAGGCCCAGTAACTGTGACCCTATGCCCCCCTGCTTTCATAATCCACAGGCCACGCCCCTGCCAACCCACTGCCCTACCTCAGCCTTCATCCTCTCCTCCCCTCCTCCCCCCTCTCCCTCCCCCTACTCACCCACGAGCTGCCCCGTGACTCTATGTCCGCCGTGCTTCTCCTTCCACAGGCACCGCCCCAGCTCGCGGGAGGTCTTGAGCACGCGGGACGCCAGCCCCACCACGGCGAACTTGCTCTCGCTCATGCGGTAACTCGCGAACTGCACGAACCCAAACGTCGGCATGTGCTCGCGGAACACGTTGTTGCGCGTCACCTCCTTTGCCACCTTCGAATTCGGGTCCTCCAGAATCGCCTTCACCAGCTCCCGCCTCTTCTCCGTGTCACTCAGATCGGATAGCGGGTCGAAGTGGCCGGAAGTGTCGGCCTCTCCCCCCGCTGCTGCTGCTCCCGCCGCCCCTGCAGTGGTCCCCGCTCCCCCTCCTGCTGCGCCTGCGGCCCCCGCTGCGCCTGTCCCCCCTGTTGTGGCTGCAATACCTCCTCCTGACGCCCCTGCCCGCCCCCCTCCCGCTGTCCCCGCCGTCAGTCCCCCTCCCGCTGCCCCCGCCGTCAGTCCCCCTCCCGCCGCCCCCGCAATCAGTCCCCCGCCCGCTGCTCCTGCCGCGCCTGCAGCTTCTACTCGCGGCTGCTGCTGCTGCTGCGCGCCCCCTTGCTGCTGCAAAACCCGTGGGTCCACTGGATTCTTCGCTGCTCCTGTCCCTGACTGCGCTTGCCCCGCCCCCGCTTGCCCCCCGCCCCCCTTCCCTGCTTCCGCTTTCTCTCCCGCTGCCGACTTAGCCCCTGCCCCTGCGGCTCCCCCTCCCGCGCCCGCCCCACCTGCTGCGCCATTCCCCCCATTCGTGACAGTCGCTAGCTGTTGTTGCCGCCGGTTTTGAATAAGTAAAAGAATGAGCAGAACCGCGATGACTATGTAGGGCAGATTCTGCTTGATAAGTGCCGACACGTAGTGCGATCTGCTGCTGCTGTACATGGCGCGGCGCCGTCTCAGCATCGCGATGTGCGGATTCACGTCGCCCGCTCTGTGATACGACGGCGGCGAGTCGTGAGCCGTCGGATCGTCCTCCATCTCCACATACGTCGTCTCGGGGGGACTGTCGTACGGCGCTATTCCCGACGCCGGTATTCCCGAGACGTACCCCCCACCGGCTCCCCACCGCCGCTGCTCTTGCGCGCCCCATTCCCGCCGCGGCCCCGCGCCTCCGCCATATGCGCCGCCGTACGCGCCGCCGTACGCCGCGGGGCCTCTCCCGCCGCGATGCATGCCCCCGTCGCGCATGCCCGGGTCCCGCATCGCCATGGATCGGAGCGCGAGCTCACTCATTCCTGTATCGCGTACGACGCCCGGCCCCTCCCGCGCGCCTGGCCCCCGCATGCCCATGTCCCGCATGCCGGGCCCGCGCATCCCCATTCCCCCCATGCCCCCCATGTTCCCCCCGCGTCCCATGCCTGCTCCGCGCATGTCCGCTTGCCTGAAGCTGCCATGCGGGGAGTCCTGCACCGTGGGGGAGGCAGACGGCATTTTGCCGCATACGCGGATACTAGAGCTGACTATGCGGCAGCAAGCAGGGTTGACCAATCGAACAAGGGTAACAGAAAGAACGCCTATCGAATTGGAGAAATCCACGAAGCTGCAAGCGACTGCGCAAATTTCGGACTGAAACGGACTCGAAAGTAGTGGCGAATTGACGGCCTGCCGTCTAGTCTTTTCAGGACATGGGAGGAAAAGTGGTTGATTCGTGTACTTCAGGCACGCCAGACTGTCGCTCCCTCACTTGCTGCCTCGCCTAGAAAACTTCGTGCTGGTTGGCGATTTGAACAAGTCTGAAGTACACCAGAAACATTTGTTTCGAGACGAATAGTTTCAGATCAATATTCAATATTGAGACGCGTAAAGAGCGTACACCGGCAGGGTTTCGAAAGCACACGCGAAATGGATTTGCGAGAGTTACCGCAACCAGCACACCCAGCCACTACCCGTGCGACCATCTAGGAAATCAGCGTGCTAAACCTGGTGGCGAGGAACGAACCGACTGCCATCGTGGCGTCACCACATTGGTTCTGACGATCGTGGCGACATCTGTTCGTGGATAATGCAGTTTCGCCCATCCAATTCACACCCCCGCTCGAGACACCATCTCTTTCGTTTCTCCTTGGGATCTACTCTGGTTGCCTCCCACTCCGTTCAGACCGATTTTCTTTGGTAGCATTCTTGGTTAGCAGGTGTCTTCCTAGCATCCCGCAACCATGGCTGCCACCACCGTCTCCGCCAGCCTCAAGGCCACGTCCCTTGTGCAGCCTAAGGTCAATGCCGCCTCCCTGAAGGCCGCTCCCGTGTCTCAGGCTTTCGGCCTGAAGACTGCCTCCTCCAAGGTGTCCTGCTCCCTGGAGGAGAACGTCCGCGGCTTCGTCCAGAAGGCTGCTGATGCCGGCAAGACCGCTGCTCTTGCTCTCGCCTCGACCGCCCTGCTTGCATCGGTATGTGATTCTATCCTATTTTCTTTTCTGAGATTTGTTTACAGCGCCGTTGCTGACCCAAAATTCTGTGTTCGCATTTTTACAGGCTGCCCAGGCTGAGATCCCCAGGCTGACCTTCGATGAGCTCCAGAGCCTGACCTACTCTGAGGTGAAGGGCAGCGGCATCGCCAACCAGTGCCCCATCATTGCTGGTGGTGTTGATGGCTTCGCCTTCAAGTCCGGCAAGTACCAGCTCACCAAGATGTGCCTGGAGCCCACTTCCTTCACCGTGAAGGCCGAGTCCCAGTTCAAGGGCCAGGGCGAGGAGTTCCAGAAGACCAAGCTCATGACCCGCCTCACATACACCCTGGACGAGATTGAGGGTCCCCTTGAGGTCTCCGGCGACAAGATCAAGTTCACCGAGGTTGACGGCATTGACTACGCCGCTGTCACCGTCCAGCTGTCCGGTGGCGAGAGGGTGCCGTTTCTCTTCACCATCAAGGAGCTGGTTGCCTCCGGCACGCCCGACAGCTTCGGCGGGTCCTTCCTGGTGCCATCTTACCGCGGTGCCACGTTCCTTGACCCCAAGGGCCGTGGTGGTGCCCAAGGATACGACTCTGCCGTTGCCCTCCCTGCTGGTGGCTTCGGTGACAACGAGAAGCTGAGGAAGGAGAACGAGAAGTCGTACAAGTCCTTGAGCGGCAACATCACCTTCAGCGTGGCAAAGTCGAACGTTGAGACTGGCGAGATTGGCGGAGTGTTCACCAGCGTCCAGCCCTCTGACACTGATATGGGTGCCAAGGTTCCCAAGGACGTTAAGATCCAGGGCATCTGGTACGCCCAGGTGAACTAGACGACTGCACCATTGTTCTTGTAAATCAAAGAGTATCAGAACATTTTTCCTCTAATATGAATATTCGCCGACAATTCTGCCATAATCTCAACGTTCTGCCTTACTAGTTGGTTGACAGTGTCATCATTAGCAACCACAGGCTTAGTGGCGGACAAAGCGGCTTTAGAATGTAGACGATCCTGATAAGCAGTAGTTTTCTATCTCATCAAACGTGAGCCAACTGTCTGGAATGGGAAACGATTCGGTGAAAGAAGTTGTTTACAACCCCTACCAGAGGTAATTTTAACGAGCTGATGGATCTTTTCGTTCTCACAAACTGATTATGACGAGGATATAGTTGCCACGTGGCGATCTCGCTATCCACCAATCACAGGACCATCAACACCGTCGCTTTCGCTGCTCCCTCTCTCTCTTCCCGTTTGCCCACCTCCCAACCGACTCTTCGCCACGACCTCCCGCGCCTCTCCCGTTCGACCATCTCAACTTGAACAAGTCGTTCCTGAAGCTCCGCTTGTCCGCCATGGCGTCCCTGCTTGCTTCTTCGTTCTTAGTCTCCACTCCCGCAGCTTCCCTTGGGAGTTGCGCGACTCTGTCAGAGTCTTCTTCGCAGGTTTCCTGCGCAGCTCCCGTGAACCAGGATGCGCTGAAGGTTGCGGGATTTCCACAAGGCAAGCATTTTAGCTTTCACATTGGGCAATAGCTCTTGCAATCCTCTCTCATTTCGTTTGGTTCTCATAAAGCAGCTGCATAGTGCGTTCAGAGGATTTAAGTTATGGGCGGTGTCAAATATTCCCTCGCCAGTTGTTTCAGAAAAGGAATATTTGTGACGTGCTGTTGTGGTCTCGGATGATCGTTCTGTGCAGTTTATTGTGGGCGTGGGGACAAGCGTACCGCGAAAGGGAAGAGGACTCGTGGATCCTTTGGCAACGTAAGCTAAGACTTAGTGTTTGTTTTCATCCGCAGATCCATTTTTTCCCCCAGGATATGCGATGTTCTGTCTCATGTGTAAGACATCGACAGTCCTTTTTTCCCTCGCTCAACAAATGACTGCCCTTCATTCCGCGTCCCTCCTCTCAGTGCCGGCCGAAGTCTTCGAAGGGCAAGAGCCGCCTGGGCCTGCCTCTGACGCCAGTGCCAGCTGGGAGCGGCTATCGCAAGCGGCTGGAGGACGACACAGAGTACATCCACATCGACCTGGACGAGGAGATCAACCGATAATCTGTCGACGGATAGGTTCTGCTGAGCATATACTCTAAATGTTAGCGCTTGTTCAATGCAGCGACGTTTCCCCGACACAATGTTATCTTCTGTGTCCATTTCCTCCCACCGTATGGACTGGAAAAGAACCACGCCTGTTGTGGGGCCAGACCTAAGGATGCCCTCTTGCCATGGCTATCACAAGCTGCAGGATTTTGGGTTTTGTCTTGTCATACCTTGGCTCAGATGTCAGCCCCTAGATTGTGCCTTACCATTGGCCACTCAGTGCTTCTTATAAACGCCACGGATAGGCCACTTTAATGGCAGATTAACTTATAAAACAGATGACATGCAGACCGGATAAAGCACAAGTTGGCTGAAGTCCTCACTGGAGGTTGCTCTGCAATGGGTGCATGTGCAAGACAGGACAAGCGACCCTTTCCTCCAGATGATGTTTCAGCGACAGTCACAAGCACGCCCAAGCCAGATCACGTAACGCTAGCAGAGCAGACCATATACCAAGGCAGCGGCCTCTTGGCAACATGTGTTTCTTAGTCGCTCCTATGCGTCAAGGATGTTCACTAGCTAGCGTGGGGCCGCAGTGTCTTGCTTTCGGCCGACGACGATCGTTCACATGTCCCGATTCGCAGCGACCCAAGCCGACTGGTTACCGTAGGGACTTCATGTCCCCGCTTTCCGTCCAGTGTGTGAAAATCGGCCAGTCAAGTAGAAAGCAAGGACATTTGTCGATCAGCGCTGGTCATGAGTTGCAGCCGCAGATTCGACATCTTAATTCGCCCAACGGCTCCGCTTCTGTGCGTGTGGCGGCTATAGATTGCGGGACTAACGCACTTAGACTCCTCATATGCGAATGCGGCGAAGGTTCATGTTTCCGAAGCAGAGAGCTGGTACGCGAAACACGGTCAGTGACTCTTGGAGCTGATGTGTCACGCACTGGCTCTCTTTCTCCTGACACTGTTTCCACTTGCCTTGATATCCTGAGGTACTTCGCACGGCTATGTCGTGTCCATGGGGTCTCGCAAACGAGTATGTGCGCCACGTCAGCTGCCAGGCGTGCAGCCAATGCTGCAGATTTTCTCATCCCAGCCGCACAAGTACTTGGTTCAACTCCGGAAGTCATATCAGGGGAAGAAGAGGGCAAGCTGACATTTCTTGGCGCCACCGCAGCAGTCAACATATTATTGGCACAGGAAGAATCACCCCTTGCAGTGATAGACATTGGCGGTGGTTCATCAGAGGTGGCCTTGGGGATCATCTCTCCCCCCTTCAAGGGTGCAGTTTCCAGTTCCTCCTCTTTGTCCTCGTCTTCACCCACTATCTCTGGCCCTCACACTGTCGTCTCAGTTGAAATTGGCTCCTCCTCTCTATCGCGCTCCTATTCTCTCCACCTCAGCCCCACCTCTCCATCCAGCATTGAAGCAGCTCGTCTTGCTGCCAGGGAGGTTTACCGCTGCAAACTCTCTCCTGCACTGTCAACCGACTGGTCCAAGCACATCGATCATGTAGGAAGGGGTATGAGGTCTGGAGTGGCAACATGTGGAGTGGGGAGAGTGGTGGTTGGCACAGGAGGGATACTGACAACTCTTGCCGCGCTTGCTCAGGGCGTGCCATACACAAGGGAGAAAGTTCAAGGTTTTGTTTTGGATGTGGAAGTGGTGACTGGGATACTCGAGAAATGCGCAGGAATGACACGAGAGGACAGAGCTCGCTTACCTGGCATGTGGGAAGGCCATGTGGACGTGATTATTGGGGGTATGTGTGCTGTGTTATCATTAATGGAAGTGCTTCAGTGCACAGCATGCATTGTGTCAGAGTCAGATCTCCTGGATGGAATGATTATCAAACTGTGCTCATGTACGGAAAAGGAGTAACGATATTATTAAATAAACATGGCCGAGTGGACCTTTGTCAGTCTTTGTTGAAACTGGTGGTTCACATTATCTTAATGGTTGCAAGCAATTGTAAAATGAACAGCTTTAACAACTATGGATATTTTCCATACAAGTTCTGGAGCACCGGCTGTACTTGTTCACGACCTTGTATGGATATGTTCGATACAAGTTCTGTATTTTCCACATCGGTCGTCAGCGAAGGGGTCTGTCTGTTTTGACAAGTTCCAGCGACCATCAGAAGCCAAGCTTCCCCTGCTTTCCATCACTATCGTGCTGCTGTAGATCACTCCGCACATCACAATGGATACCTCGGTTGAGCTTCAGGTTCCCAGACAGTAAATCTCATTACGTGGTGTGAGGGGTACTTTCTGGTTGCGTAGGCGAGTGGTGAAGAAGGCATCCTTATGGCTTTCGGTTGTGGGTCGTTTTCCGGTTCATGGCCAGCAGTCGAATCCATACAGCCACACCAGGTGTCAGTTGTCTTGTTAAGCAGGTAAGCGCTTATTGTATCGTATGGTTCCCTATTTCAAGTCGGATTGACACCTTTCGTTCTCTCAAACAGATTCGGCGTATCCTCCTTGCGAGATGTAGAACCTGATTGCTGCGATAACCTTTTGGCGAAACTCCAAAAAGAGGAGGTTTTTACAGGATTACTGCTTGATGGCGGTCTGATTATCACAACCCGTTCCGCTGTGCCGTCAAAAGAGGCAGCAGCAGGCTTACATTTGTTGGCGTTCTCGGCTCCCGTTATACGCAAGAACAAGAAAGGATCTCACGCTACGGCTCAACTAATCTGCGCACCCAAACCTCTATCACCAGATAGGTTCGTATTGGAATGAAAGCCTAGAAGGTCTGGTATCTGATAACTGATTTACGCTTACCCTGACAGGGCCTTTGGAACAAATGAGGCGCTCGGTGTTACAATCGTTGCATGCGAGCAGCTGTCCTGCGGAGAGGAACATGCCTCAGTCGCGTGCAATGTCTCGGCATTGTCTCGAAGCCTTGGAATTGGCTCGAATGCTTTTCTGCTCGTCTATTACTTCGCTGCTCTACGTCTTCCACAAGGAAGCTCATCAAAGATATCTGCTGAAAGCATTCCATTCACTGCTCTTTCATGGAAGCTGCAAAAGGGTCGCGTACTGGAACTCCACGATTCAAAAGTGGCCTCACATTCAGTGGAAACAAGCAAAATCAGGATTCAAATTCCTAGCTCTAGCTCTTTCCTGTCAAGCAAAAACAGCAAGTCAGGTGGCCAGCGTGGCTTCACAGTTCCAAGCTGTGTGGTGTTCAACAACGATGGTGAAGTTGCCTCCATAGTGCACCATGGTATGTACCTTGATGTCAAAGCTTCGCTGATGCGAGTGCATTTCCCGAGTGAGCGTGTACTAATACTGTTTCATTCGGTGACAACCAGACACAATAAGCAAGGCTCAAGTTCAGGCAACGCCAGTGAGTGCGGCTCTTGAGTGGATTTCAAGTATGTATGACATGACCAGTACCACCATAAGGCTTCCTCCCATCGGCTCTCCCAGAGAGAGCAGCACCAGTGAGCAAATCCTGGCAGAAGCAGCAGTAGAGGAGCGGCTGACAGAACCAGTACCAGGAAATAGTTATGACGCCTCCCCAGAAGCAGCATCTGAATCTGTGCCTGGTAACTTGGACACGGCCACGGAGCAAAGGGGTGAAGATTCACTGGAGAAGGGTGATACATCAGCGCCTGATGCTGTGGATGCTTGTTCACCGACCGATCAAGTTAACGAGACCAATGTCACTGCAAACTTTGACACTGGGGTGGGTGCTGCTAATTCCACAGCTGATAATGAGGAATGTCATGCCGTGGAAGTGCTCCCTATTAACCAGATGGCAGCGGACGTTGTGGAGAGTGCGCATGTTGACACCATTGCTCCCATGCAATCCGCTGAGAAGCAGAAGCTGAGTCACGAAGAGCTCAAAGCACGCATAATGGGTTATGGCAACATGAGCGGTATGATGAAGAGACAGGGTGCTCGAGCAGACGTTTCTAGGCATGTGGAATTAGCTAGTATAGCAGCTGGAGTGCAGAGATTGTCAGGTGGACCGAGAAAGCCCACCTCCAGCAGATCCTCTGCAGAAGGGAGAGGCTCTGAAGGTGGCTTGATTGGGGAGGCAGGCAGCATCTCACGCAAGCCAGCACTCTGGCGATTTGGATCGACTGGCCAGCAGGCAGCTGCAGGCACAACGGCATCAGATGCAGCAGGCAACGAGGGAGTCTCTCACAAGACTGCATTGAACAACATGCCATCCCTGCAAATGATCGTGGCTGCTCCTGTAGCAGCATTTGTGGAACTGGGGACGAAAATGAGTGGTGCAATGGTAGATCTTGGAAGTGCACTTCGGAAACACCAAGAGCATGGAGCTCAGGTGGCTGAGATGAGTGAATTGGACAAGAAGAAGCTCCAGGTATGAATCGATTAAGCATGTAAGGCAAGATTCAAGCACGTGTCATTGAGCTGACGCTATGTACTTGTTGAGTGCAGGAACAAGAGGTGCGCAGACAAGATGCATACAAAAACGCTTCTGCATCCCTCTTCAAAACGAGTCACCTTCAAGAGCGGCTATCTACCCCAAACCTGCAGGTCCCCCCACCTGATATGGAGAATCCTGAGAACGTTTTACACCTGGATCATGCTGCTGACGTTGAGGTCGGTGATGCGAAGGGTTTGGAGTCACAAGCGAGTGCAGGGGCTGGTCGCAGCGTGATTTTTGGAGTAAAAGAAGGTGATGAGAAGGATGGAGATGATTTCAGCAAAGGGAAGGAGGCCACTGAGGCTAGTGGCGATGGGGTCAGTGAAGGGAGAAGTCCCTGTGAGCTGGATGAAGGCCAAGGCATAGGCATGGGAGGAAGTGCCTATGCGTATGATCATTCAACAGCCTTGAGCGGAAGCCTCGGTATAGACTTGTCCAAAGAGATGAAGGGCGAGCATTCGTCAGAGATTGTTGTTGGTGCGAGGTCCAGTGACGGGTCAAGCAAGTCAAGTGAGCAGTCCAACCACAGCCACTCCAGAGACAGCACCGGCAGCAGCAGCTCAACCGACCATGTCAAATACAAATGGCCTCTTACGACCCAAACGAGCACTGGTAGCACCTCCACTGGCACACGGCGTCCACGGGTCTTATTGGATGACCACTGGTGGAAGACGAAGCTGGTTGGTGAGGAGCCAGGGCGCCGTTTGGTGGCTGCTCAGCTAGCCAGGGAGGCAATGCTGATGCGAGGGGGGTCGGGTAATGTCTCACGGCTGGAGGGACGCGTTGGGGGATTGGAGGCGCCCACTCCTCTTGCTTCACGTTCCAATTCTGGAGTCCCACCGACCATAAGGAAGGGAGCCATCACGATAGCTCTGCATGAGGAAAGAACGGATGTGGCTCAGGGCTCAAATGCTGACAGTTCCGAGCCTGAGGGGGAAAGAGAAGACAAGTCTGATGGAGCTGATGGTGCCTTGTCAAGGCTCGCTGACAAACGTACAACTGAACCACCTGGGGTTGCTGCTGATGGGACAAGCACATGCACGAGCAAGCCGTTACAGCAAGGTGGTGTTGATGAAGGAATTGCGTTGCAGGGGGCACAGGGAAACCATTCAGTGGGCAAAGGATCCGCTGCAACAACGCTGGGTAAGGGTGAAATCACGTTGCTCAGCTCCGCTACTCAGGCTGAAGTGGAGGCACATCAGCAGCCATGCCAGACTGCGGCTGACAATCATGACCCCTGGTGAGTATTTTCTGTTCATTCTGTCTTGCCATTCGTCACTCCTAGTCCCTCACTTATGGCTGTCAGGGTGAGCAAGGCGGAGCACAAAACTCCAGTGATGGCAGTCCCTCCTCCAGTGGACAAGCGTCTGCAGTCAGGCTTTGACGGGCTCATGCAGGCAATTGAGTCGCTGGCCACCATGAGTGTTTCTCGCTCTCCTGGAGCCAAGCCATGGGCCTCAAGCAACCGAGAAACAGACAAGGGAGCAACCAGTCAGAGCACACAGCCCTCTAGCCCCATGCTGACATATGATGGAGCAGTGACCAGCCTGGGGAAACGCCAAACTGAGCCAAGGCAAGCTGTGGCCGGGGTCACAAGACAAGCAGCTATCTTTTCAGCCACTTCTTCTTCCAGCAGCACTCAAATCTCTTCAACTGGTGAGAATCAGCTGCATCTGCATTGTGTACGATTTGTGTGCAGGATCCTGCATAGTTGCTGCCCCCCGGCCCGCCTTTTCACGTCCTCTATGTTTGACTGGCAGGTCACAGGCTCCCTGCAGCATCACCGGAGCACACTGAAGAGTTTGCTCACAGGGCAGGGGTGCTGAGCCTGCAGCAGCAGGCAGCGTGGCTGTGGGGCAGTGCACAGCACATGGCTGCACGGGGCACAAGGGCCAGCTCTGCATCTAGCGATGGGGACTCCCAGGCCAGGGGTAGCGGTGTGGAGCACGACAGGACGAGTGGGAGGGCGAGTGATAGGGTGAGTGGGCTGTCAGGTATACCAAGTGCCAGAAGCAGCTCGAATATGAGGAGCAGTGCTGGAGGAGTGGGGGCTGGGAAGAGCCCAGCACCTGTTGCTGACTTGATGACAGGAAAGCAGGCCTATGAGTATTTGAAGGAGCATCAGAAGGAATGTGCACATATGGGACCGCGCACTCTTCGTTGACACGCAATGTGGTGGACTGGAGTACCGAGGAATACTGCATGTGAAAACTACGGTACCAAAGCAGACTGGTCCCTCTGATCTGAACCTGGCGTTGCTTGTAGTTTCTCTGCATCTGGTCTTTAATACATTCCAACCACACTCTAGATATAAGAAACCAATAAGGTGGTGCATGATTTTCCCATATGCATGTGATAAGACAATGAGAATTTGAAGTATGTGTGCCCCTTTTTTGTTCCACTGCGTTGGACATAGGTAGGCCTGCCAACGTTGATCAAATAGGGAAAGAGGAAAATGATTCTACTGTAAATTGAGTTCATTTTTTACCTGAGATCCCATTCTCTAGTGATCAGCACTAGCTAGGAACTAGTTTTCCAAGCGCGCCGCCGAGCTATGCGGAGTATTAATTCGAACTCCTTTTCGCGCCACCTACATAACCCAATCAGACTTGAACCATCGCCCTCTCTACAGACAAACCATCATAACACGGCGACACTAGCGTGTCCTACAGTCTCGCGAGGATTGACGCGTTCCCCAACCCAGCCACATCCATTCCCGCTGGTGCAACCGCCTTCCGCATCTCCTGCCCGTTCCCCCCTTCCCTCTGCCCGTCTCGTCGTTTGCGCATCTTCCCGTCGCGGAAGATCCCGACCAGCGCCGCGCGGGTTTTCCGCGCGCGAGGCGATGCGCGGAGGGGTGGACTCGGAGGGGCGGCAGTATGCGTCGGCAGACGAAATGTGGCGGCAGGAGGCGGGGGAGCGCGCAGTGAGCGCGGGGGAAGGGAAAAGCGAGGAGGGCGCAATGGAGGCGGAAATGGGTGGGAAGAAGCGCGAATGGTACGACAAGGGCGTCAAGTACTGGGAGGTGCGCGCTGCCTCTCCCCCTCCCTCTCCTCTCTCCCCTCTCCCTCATTTCTCGCAACTGCATTTTCCTCTTGCCTCCCACCCCTGCGCCGTGTATCTCAAGGGCGTGAAGGCTGGACGGCGTTTTGGGGGGCTACGGCGCGTCTTGAGGCGCCTTTCCCCCGTTTTCCCCCTCCCTTTCCCCCGCTCCCTCTCCCCTTCGTGCATCCCAAGTGCGTGGAGGCGAGTGTGGACGGCGTGTTGGGGGGATACGGCGCGGTGAGCTCAACAGACGCGGCGGGCAGCGCGGCCTTCCTGCACGAGGTCTACGGCGCACAGCTCGACGCTGCCCGCTCACAGGGCCGCCCGCTTGTTGCTCTGGGTGCGTGTGAGAGAGGAGGGGGTGGGGAGGAGGGGGTGGGGTAAAGGGGGCAGTGCGGCGTTCCTGCAGGAGGTGTACGGCGCACAGCTCGGCTCCGCCCGCTCACAGGGCCGCCCGCTGGCCGCTCTGGGTGCGTGCCGTGAGAGGGGAGGGGGTGGGGAGGAGAGGGGGAGTAAGTCACAGGCTCGGGCATAAGATCACAGGCTCGGGCATAAGATCACAGGCTCGGGCATAAGATCACAGGCTCGGACATGGGGTCACTAATTTGAATCCACTCTCCATCTGCCCTGCGCCATGCATCACAACTTGAGCTCTTTCCAGTTGCATGCTGCACCATCCCCCTTTCCCTTCCTCTGTCTTCCCTTCACCGCCCCACCATCCCGCGTGGCAGACTGTGGGGCGGGCATAGGGCGAGTGACCAAGGAGTTCCTACTGCACGTCTTCAACGAGGTGGGTGGGGTGACGTGTGCTGTGCTGTTCGTGCACATCACACCGCACTGCATTCCAGTGTGCCTGCATGACACTGTTAGGACCATCGCGTGACTAAGGAATTTCTACCGCACGTCTTCAGCGTGGGTGGGGTGTGCTGTGCACACACATTTCACCACATTGCATTCCAGTGTGCCTGCATGACACTGTGACTGCACCTTATAGACCATCGCATGTTCACGTTCAGTTGATCTGATCTCCCCTCTGTGCCTGCGCTGCCAGGTGGATCTAGTGGAGCCGGTTCGGCACTTCATAGATGCCGCCCGCGACCACCTCGCCTCGCCGCCCTCCTCTGCTGCCTCGCCTGCCGCCTCCCACCGCGCCGTCAACTTCTTCTGCTGCCCGCTCCAGGTGCTGCCCGCTCCAGGTGCTGCCCGCTCCAGGTGCTGCCCGCTCCAGGTGCTGCCCGCTCCAGGTGCTGCCCGCTCCAGGTGCTGCCCGCTCCAGGTGCTGCCCGCTCCAGGTGCTGCCCGCTCCAGGTGCTGCCCGCTCCAGGTGCTGCCCGCTCCAGGTGCTGCCCGCTCCAGGTGCTGCCCGTTCCAGGTGCTGCCCGCTCCAGGTGCTGCCCGCTCCAGGTGCTGCCCGCTCCAGGTGCTACCCGCTCCAGGTGCTGCCCGCTCCAGGTGCTGCCCGCTCCAGGTGCTGCCCGCTCCAGGTGCTGCCTTCCCAGGTGCTGCCTTCCCAGGTGCTGCCTTCCCAGGTGCTGCCTTCCCAGGTGCTGCCTTCCCAGGTGCTGCCTTCCCAGGTGCTGCCTTCCCAGGTGCTGCCTTCCCAGGTGCTGCCTTCCCAGGTGCTGCCTTCCCAGGTGCTGCCTTCCCAGGTGCTGCCTTCCCAGGTGCTGCCTTCCCAGGTGCTGCCTTCCCAGGTGCTGCCTTCCCAGGTGCTGCCTTCCCAGGTGCTGCCTTCCCAGGTGCTGCCTTCCCAGGTGCTGCCTTCCCAGTTGCTGCCTTCCCAGGTGCTGCCTTCCCAGGTGCTGCTTTCCCAGGTGCTGCCTTCCCAGGTGCTGCCTTCCCAGGTGCTGCCTTCCCAGGTGCTGCCTTCCCAGGTGCTGCCTTCCCAGGTGCTGCCTTCCCAGGTGCTGCCTTCCCAGGTGCTGCCTTCCCAGGTGCTGCCTTCCCAGGTGCTGCCTTCCCAGGTGCTGCCTTCCCAGGTGCTGCCTTCCCAGGTGCTGCCTTCCCAGGTGCTGCCTTCCCAGGTGCTGCCTTTCCAGGTGCTGCCTTTCAAAAGTAAATCCGCCATTCTGCGTGTTAACATGCATTCTCGCTTCCGTCCCCCTCCCAGCATCAGCATCAGCATCAGCATCAGCGCATCAGCACGCCCGTTGCCTTTTTTTTTCGCACTCCTCTCCTCTCAACCCTGCTGACCGTTCTCTCCCCTTGTGCACCCCTCACACGCGTCCCTGCACCGTTGCTGCACGTCCCTCCCTGCCGTGCCTGCTGGGCAGGAGTTCAGTCCAGATGCAGGGCGGTACGATGTGGTGTGGGTGCAGTGGTGCATCGGCCACCTCACTGACGCCGACCTTATCGCCTTCCTCCATCGCTGCCTGGTGCGTGCTCCATAAACACTAGAGGCTTACTTGTATTGAATCTGTATCCTGGAAAAGTGGTGCTGTTTTTGCTGCTGTTTCCATTCCACCACTCCTCCACTCCCCACGTCACCTGCAACTCTTCCCTTCTCCGTCCCTCTCTCTGCGCGTACCCTGCCCCTGCCTCGCGTGCAGGCAGGGCTGCGGCCGGGCGGCATCATAGTGCTCAAGGAGAACACGTGCCAGAAAGGTAACTCTGAGTGGTCCGAAAAATCCTAGTGGTGGGGGAGAGCACGTGTCCCAAAGGGCACCCCAGTTCCCTCGTCCTTCCACCCCACGCCAAGTCATGTCACCCATTCGTGCAATACCTGACTCGGGGGTTGTGTCTGTTGTGGCGTGTGTTTTCGTCAGTCATGATTAAGCCTGGCATCATTGTTCTCGTGTGGGTGGGCGTTGCTTGTGTGTATGTGTGTGTGTGTTGGGGGATGGGTGGGTGCGTTTGGACTGTATGTCTGCATGGATGCATGGGTGTATGGACTTATGCATGTCTGCATGGGCACATGCATGTGCATGTGTGCATGTGTGCATGTCTGCATGGGTTTGGGCTGTATGTCTGCATGTCTGCATGGGCACATGCATGTGCACATGCATGCAGGGTTCGTGTTGGACAAGGCGGACAGCAGTGTGACGCGCAGCGATGCATACTTCAGAGACCTCTTCAAGCAGGCCAACCTGCAGCTCCTCAAATCCAAGGTACTTGAATCCAAGGTACCGTACTTCAATCTGAGGTACCCAACTTCAAGGTACCAACGCACACACACACCAACGCACCCAACTCCCAAGGTACCAAGTCTGACGTCTCTTAATCCAAAGCAAGGTTCTCAACCCCGAGGTACCCATGTGTCAGAAGGAACTGCCACCACATGTGCGTCTGCTGATTTGATCCCACCTTCCATCAGCGCACACACCTTCATCCCCACCAGCCCTACCTCTGCTGTCCTCTGCTCTGCTCATCCCAGGTGCAGCGCGGGTTCCCCTCGGAGCTGTTTGTGGTGAAGATGTACGCGCTGGCAGCACACCCCACCACACACGGGGGAGTGGCGGGGCGCACACGGCAGCGCAGCAAGAGACCCAATCAGCCGGCTGTCATCTACTGACAAATTGACAATGAGATACCGACCGCTTTTGGTGCCTGCTTGCCTGCCTATCTGCCTGGCTGGTGCTGCTTGCTGTTCCATTGTCTAGTGCTCGCGGGTGCAGCAGCTCTGCTATGCATCCCATGCATGAGAGCGTGTGTGAATCGTACCGGTATATGCTGCTTGCTGCAGCCGTCTGTCAGATGGAACTGTGCTCGTGATGAAGAACTCTACCTTGAAAAGTGTACGCGTCTTGCTCATAGAATCACTGGTGAGACACAACGTTCACTGTTATACGAAACATGATTCGCATGGGAATCCAGGGTGCCACAGGGACATCATCAAGAGTTAGCCTCACATCACACCGCACCATCAGTGCGCCATGCCATCACTGCCCCATCGCCGTGTCATCTCTGCATCCATGCAGGCTTTTTGAACTCGATGCTCATCTTGCTGAACGTGCTCTTGAGCACATGGTGTGCATGGGCAATGTTCTGTGCATGCACGCTCTCCCTCACTGCCGGCTCGTTCAACGGCAGCCAAAAGCTCCCGTCCTGCTCTTGCTCCTCCGCACCACCCCCACTGCCATTCCGCTCCTCCCTCTCTTGCTCTGGCATCTCTCCTGCTGCTGCAGCTGCTGTGACAGCAGCATCTGAGCTACCTGGAGCCGCCCCCCCTACAGTCACACTGTAGCCCTCGTCCGCCCTACCCCCGTTCTCAGCCTCTGACAGCACTGCTCCAGCCTCCTGCCCTGCCAGGCTCGCTGCACCAGCACTATCTGACAGCAACCCTGCCTCTGCTCCCACCTGCCCAATTTCTGCCTGCCCCTCTGCTGCTGCCCGCGCACCACCCTCACTTTCTCCTGCTTCTCCTTCTCCTTCTCCTTCTAATGCTCCTTCTCCTGCTTCAGCACCTGCTGCTGCGTCTACATCTGTCGGCACATCAGCATCATCATCTGCTGCCAGCACCACCGGGTCCCTGCGTCGGGGGCTGGCAATAACAGACGCAGGGATACCCCAGAAGGCCTGCGCTCGGGCGTCATCGGCGCGCATGGCTTGGCTGTACACGGGCAGCTCAAACGCCCACGTGGAGCGGCCGCCAAAGCCCTGGTCGAGATGCTCCAGGTCGAAGATCTCTTCTAGCTGGGCGATGGTGGCGGGCTTGTTGGGGTACACGAATAGGATCTTCTTGAACGTGGTGGGGTCCACGAAGGGCCGGATCATCTGAGTGATGGGGAGGGGGTGTGCAAGAGGAGAGCATTCAGGGGTGAGGGTGGGAGCATGGGAGCATCTGAGCAGATGGGTCGGGGCATGTGAGGTGCATGCAAGCATGGAGCAATCAAGGCGTGCAACACAAGAGTCAAAACGATTCCCAGCCCCAAAAACTAGAAAACTATCCCAACTCGCACACCCCCCCAACTCACACGCCCCTCGGGCCCACCTTCCAGAACGTCTCAAAGACGGGCGGCGGGTCGTACACCACAGCCTGGCCCAGCCGCTCGGGGTAGTGGTTCTGCAGAATGGACAGCACCTCGCGCGACGTCTTGAGCGGCGGCGCCTTGCGCAGCGTCCAGCCGCGGAAGTCAATGAACCACACCATGCGGCTGTGCGCCGTGCCGGCCGGCAGGTGGTTGATGGCGTTCTCCAGCGCGTACACCAGGTGCCGCACCTGCCCCGCATGCCCCGCCGTGTTCTGCGCTCAAAGGGCGAAAGTGGATTGGGGGGAGCGGCATTGGATCGATCAAAAGCACCTTTCCTGTGAGTCGAATCCGTTGAGATAGGCTGCCACCTCGGAATAAGCAGTACGCCTGAACGTCGCTGTAGGGAGCGTGAATGAGCGGGACAAAGTGTGCGACCAGGCTGATCTGAAACTGGAAAGGCTGTCGTCACGGATGAGATGTGCGGGCAGATAGGCTCACCTGGCGACCGGCGGACATGACAATGACGGCGCGGCCCTGCTTGTCCAGGAATTCCGTGCGGTACACCTTGCCTGTCGCCGCCTCTTCCGCCACGTCCTCCTGAACCAACCAAGCCGCACATCCCCATAGACCAGGATGAATTGAACATTTATAATTAGAAAAAGTTGACGAATTTGCGCGAGGGGCTGTCCTGGATTCAGGAAGCGTCTAAGGGGTAAGCGCGGCCGTACCCACGTGATCTCTTCTGGTCGGTACACGTGTCGCCAGCGGAGCGTGTCGCGGAGCATCTTCTCCGCCTTGGCCACATTCCAGCCGCGCGCGCGCAGGTAGCGCCGCAGGCACGCGTCCGTGCAGAACAGCTTCGCGCGCCCGGCCAGCGGACCAATAGCTTCCCGCAACGCCTTCACCTGATCGAATTTTAGAAGAAAACATGGTCGGGATTAGGATATCGGATGAAACCCTCCAGGATCAACTACGTCGTTAATCTCAAAATTCGGCTAGACCTATCGAGGTTGGAACGAGCAGCAGGGACCTGGTCCTGGCCGTAACGAGCCGTTACCTTGGCCTCCTGCTCCTCGGGAGTGTCGACCGGCTTCTCCGGCGTGAGCAGGTTGGGGCTGCTCACGGCGGCTCGGAACGACGCGAACTTCTCCTGGCTGAACGCCTCTAGCTTGTCCGCGAACGTCGTTGGCGCCGGCTTATCTGCTTTCTCTGATACGCCTGTTTTCTGGTCAGATTGATCGGCTTGTGATGTCATCATGACTCTGTCGGGTACTGAGTCAGGCAGAAGGCATCTACTGATCACCAGAAGCTATCGTGCAATTCTTAGGGCTCAGGTTGACTTACTAAAAGCTATTCAGAAAGATACTATCGGTCAGCTATGGAATCAGCATAATCCGATAGGAGTAGAACCAATGGTGGAATCAGTGGTTCTAGCCTAGATTCCTCACGGTCGCCTTGTGTCGTCGCTTCAGTCGCCCAAGCTATGACACAAACACCTTCCAGGGTCGTCGCTGAAGCCGTACACAGTCGCTTGGCAGGGTGCTTGACTTGTGCGACGGGTTGGGTTGGAGAGTCAACGATTTGAACTTGAAACGCCCACAATCACGTCTCAAGGTGGTACGAATCCAACGTTGACCAATCAGGCGCCTAGGAAAACAATAGCACATACATACAGTATTTGCATTGCACAAATAGCGAGTGCTTGCATACCGAGGCACACCTCAGCCTGGAAACTGCCATACCAACTGACACTGCCGTTGCAGATCGAACAAATGCGCCATAAATATTCACTGGTGGTTTTGCTCCCACAATCACTATGACTCCCGCCAAGTGCGGCCATAGATTTTTCTTGATTGCCATCACCTGTTGACCATGTCGGACTCTCTTCCTATCGATTCTGTCCCAGCCGCGCCCTCCGCTGCTTCCCCCACCGACTTGCATCATCGCACGCGGTTAGGGACTCAATATAATGATGCATGCCCTTCCGTCAACTCACGTGTTGCAAGGGGGGCCGTCGAAACCCGCGCAGATTCCGGCATCAGCAGCGGCGGCAGCAGCGGCGGCAGCAGCGGCGGCAGCAGCGGCGGCGGCGGCGGCGGCGGCGCAGCATGGACGCCGTTCCGGCGGGACCTGGTGGTGCTGGGCGCGGCGTTCCTCGCGCTCTTCGCGGCGTACAGCGCCATTCAGAACCTCGAGACGTCGTTGCACCCGCGCGCCGGCATGGGCGCCGTGTCCCTCGCCGTGATATACGGCGGCATCGTCGTGTTCGCGCCGCTCGCGCCCGCCGTGATCCGTTACTTGCGGCCGCGAGGCGCCATGCTGGTGGGCATGTCGGGGTACTGCGCGTACATCGCCGCCAACGCCGTCGACTCCAGGTACCGCCATCGCCCAGGTCGCGCTCGCGAGGCAGAAATCGCCCACGAGGAATCTTCAAGAGCCTCCGCAGCATCTCATGTTCCTGGTTCCTCGACCCGCGCCTCGTGCGGGGTGCAAGAGGATGCGCTGACTTGCATCCTCCGTGTGACGTGGCCTTTCTTGCATCTCCTTACCCCAACCCTCTCCGCCCTTCCCCCTCCCTTGCCCCCCTCCCGTTCCCCCCGCATCCCCGTCAGCGCGCAGCTGGGTGCTGCTGCTGTCCGCGGGGTACTTGGGCGCGAGCGCGTCCGTGCTGTGGGTGGCGCAGGGGCTGTACAGCGTCATGCTCGCGCGCGGACACGCCGCCGCCGCGGGCGTGGCGGAGCAAGCAGCAATCGCGGAGTTCAGCGGAATCTTCTGGGGGATCTTCGCGGCGAACCAGGTGGTGGGGAACGCCGTCACCTTCCTCGTCTGCCAGCTCATGGCGCTCCTCTTCCCCCCCGCGCCCTCTTCGCTTGCAACTCCCGTTGCGCCTTCTCCTGAGAGTCTACCTCCCGCTACAGTCACGGTGTTAATAGTTACGTTCCTGCTGTTCCTCGCGCTGGCCGCCGCGCTCACGTGGCGTCTGACTGACCTGTCAGAGGATCACCCCCTCTGCTGCTCCGCGCCCGCTCCCCCCGTGGATGGTCCAGAGGTGGGGGTAGGGAGATGTGGCATTACCGGGGAAGACGAGGAGGAGGGGAGTGAGAGGGGGGATGAGGGGGAGGGGAAGGCTTTGCTGGGAGGCGAAGGGGTTGCGGGGCGATCAGCGGAGTGGGGGGCAGTGGAACAGTCAGGGACGGCAGGAGGGGCGGGGGAGAGTGCGAGCAGCAGGGCAAAAGGGGGGCGCAGCGCATGGGAGTTGCTGGGGGAGCGGCGGCTGCAGCTGCTGCTGCCTCTGCTGCTGTACATCGGGCTGCAGTCCGCCTTCGTTGCGTGCGTCCCTGCCCATGCTCATGCTCATTCCGCCGTTCCACTTTCTGCCATGCCTTGCCACTCCCTCTCACGCCCTGACACGCCCTGTTGATAGCATTCTCACTACCGCACCTGGCTTCTCTGTTGATAACATTCTCACTACCGCACCTGGCTTCTCTGTTGATAACATTCTCACTACCGCACCTGGCTTCTCTGTTGCCTTTCATGTAGCGTCCTCCTCTCCTCTCATCACTCTATTTCACATAGCGCATCCTCCCGCCATCCTTACCCACCTCCTCCCCACGTCCTGTTTCCCTCCCTCCCCCAATCCACCAGGGCGGACTTCACACTGTACGTGGTGCGCCCAGCGCTGGGAGTGGCGTGGATCGGCGGGGTCATGTCCGTGTTTGGCGTCGCCAACAGCCTCGTGAGCTGCCTTCTCCCCTGCTTGCATGCCATGCCCCCTGCCGTATCATCACTGCAGCCCTCCATATTCTCCCTGCATTCACATGGCATCAGGCTTGCATGCTGCAGGGAGCATCGTCCCACTCGCTCCCTCGCGACTTTCTCCCTCTCTCTCCCACCCCCACTCGTCCCCGGCCAGGCGTGCATGGCAGCGGCGCGCCTGTCATCGGGGCTGCACTCCATACTCGCCACGCTGCTCATCGGTGCCGCCTGCCAGATCGCCGTGCTGCTCTCCCTCATGCTCCTCACAACCTTGTCAGTGCCCCTCCACGCTGGCCGATCTTTTACGTACCCTCCTGTACTATAACCATTACATGTCTTCGCCATACCTGGCTAGGCTATCATGTGCACTAATTTCCCGTGCTCGACCATAATACATGGTTTTCTCTCTCTGTCCGACTCCCCTTTTTCCCCTCCCCACGTACCCTTACATGCCCTCCTCCCTTGTTCCCACCCCCCCTCCCTCCCTCCCCTCCCCTCCCCCTTCTCACTCTCCTGTGCGCCCCAGCACCGCCCCCTCGTGGTGGGCCTTCACAGTGGTGTTGCTGCAGGCAGTGCTGTGGGGGGTGGGAGATGCCGCCTTCCAGTCGCAGATCAACGCACTGCTGCCACTCGCCTTCCCTCGAGACATGGTGGGCCCCTCACCCACCCCCCACTGCCTCCTTTAACCGCCATACCAACCCACCACACCTTCTCCAATCTGTGACTTTGCTCCCACCCATCCCATTCCATTACCATGCGTCACCCACCACCCCTCCTCACATTCCCCACCCTTCCTGTTTTGTTGACCCGATGCCTCTCTCCCCATCAGTTCCCTGTCGTATCCCACTCCACACCATCCCCACCCGTCCGTGCATTCCTCGTCCTGTGTTCTCCCGCGTCTCGTTACAGGACGCCTCGTTTGCGCACATGAAGATGTGGACCAGTGCAGCCTCCTCCCTCATGTTCCTCCTCAGCCCGCACCTCTCCATGCCCGCCAAAGCAGCCTTCCTCACTGCCTCCTGTGCCGTCTCTCTGCCTCTCATGCTTGCGGTTGTGCATGTTCCATAGGCCACAGCTCGGTGCTGCTTCGCTGCCTCTCTTTCTGTGTTGTATGGTACGGTATTTGCTGCCTCTCTTTCTGTGTTGTATGGTACGGTATTTGCTGCCTCTCTTTCTGTGTTGTATGGTACGGTATTTGCAATCAACGTGTTTCCATTCCAATGCTACTACCGTGGTATGGGCCACTGAGTGAGCAGATGGCACACTGTTTAGGAATTGGGTACTGATAAATTTCAATAGTTAGTAGCATGGTACAAGTCAGGATGGGTCCAGTGATGTCACGTCAGAGGTGTTGGGAGAAGCAGTCTTCATCACACAAAGAAGTGATGCAGACGCCCCTCTCCTCTTCTAATATGATAGCTGCTGTACATGATAAACTGTATACACCAACCTATTCCTAGTGAAAGGTGCAAATGCAGCATTTGCGCCTCGTTCACTTCCTGCGCCACTTTTCACGGCTGCTGCTGTTTCACGCGGACGTCGGCACCACGCCCCCTGTCGCCGCCGCAGCAGCGCCCCCCGCGATGCGGCGCTGTTGGAGCGCGGGCGCGGAGAGGACGCGGCGCACGACGCGGCCGCCGAAGGCGTGGACGAGGATCCAGGGGTGGGAGAGCAGCTTGGCGGAGGAGGGGCGTCGGCGCGGGTCGCGGTGCAGCATGCAGCGGAGCAGCCCCTTGGCCTCCGCCGACACCCCCGCCCACGCGCCGCTCGTCAGGTCCAGCGGCGCCTCCAGCACGGCGCGAAACACGCCGTTGTCGTCCGCACCCCAAAACGGCGGGCTGCCGCTCAGCAGCACGTACAGCACCACGCCCAGCGACCACACGTCCGCCTCCACCCCGTACTCGCCTGTCAATACCTCCGGCGCCATGTAGAACGGCGAACCCGCTGCGCCGTACGCTCGCTCTCCCTGCGTAAGTCCGATTGCGAGGCCGAAATCCGCGAGTTTCGCGCAGGTTACGTCTGTACCCGATATGTTCTGTTTCGACAAGAGAATGTTCTCCGGTTTGAGGTCGCGGTGCATGACGCCTTTGGAGTGGCAGAATGCAACGGCGCTGGCGATTTGGCGAAAGATAAGAGCAGCTTCTTTCTCTGGTAACCTGCCGCGTCGCACGACTTCGTCGAAGAGTTCGCCACCGTCGCACAGGTCCATGACGAGGTGAACCTGTCGCTCGTCTTCGAACACCGCGCGCAACTGCACGACGCCCGCATGCCCCGCCACGCTCCGCATCGCCGCCACCTCGCGCCGCACCTCGTCTCGCATGCGTTCGTCCACTAGCTGCTCTTTGCTTATCATTTTTACTGCGAAAGTTTCGCCTGTCGCACGGTCCGTGCATTGTCGTACGACACCGAATTCACCCGACCCGAGCAATTGTGTGTCCGAGGCGAAGTAGTTTTCGAATCGCGCGGTCGAAACGCCGAATATTGACGGGCAAGAACCGGCGTCGGTTGCATCCGACGACGAATCCGCTGCATTCTGGAGCTCTAACCGCCGTTGATGCTTCGCGCTCTGGGAGTCGGCCGACGGCGAGTCCGCCGCGTCTGCCTTGCGCTTCTTGGGTACCTCTAGAGTGCGCGTTCGCCTGTGCTCTAATGTTGCCGTCGTCGCCTGTGGGAGTGGTGACACGCTCGAGCCTGACTGCGCCATTGAGCCTGACTTCACGGACGGATTACTCAACGAAATGTGAGTCGTGTGCCTGTCTTCTGGTGTGTTGCAGCAGACTTACTGTGAAAACGCGGAAAAAGCTTCTATACAGTATTAGAATGGGGCACGAAGCAGACTTTGGAGCTAAAAAAGGCAGGCAAGCGGCGGGAAGGTTGGGAGTGGTGGACTGAAAGCGGCGACCACGCAACGCACAGCTGCGTTTCCTTCAATTGAGTCGCACTGAGGAACCGCAGGGGCCGCAACTCGAGTCGCATGTCGCACGGGCAGCGTCGAAACTCCTCAGCGTTGAAGACACTAAAGCACGTTGCTAAAGACTACCTGTTTATGTTAGGACGTGTTACAATTGCGACATCGAGGAGGATCGTGGTCACGCACCGAAGCTGCGAGAATCGATCTCCTCAGAGCCAGATGTGTCGCGATTGTCTTCAGGCTCGATAGTTAGCGGGGTTAGAAGCCTTCTTAAAAGTTTTAAATGCATTATGTATGATTTGATTGCGGTAACAGATCGATCTGGAAGGGACATCGCGCTCGGTGACTTGCGTCGGGTCTTAGCGAGTTTTAATGAAAACGGGATACAAGACACAGAGATTTACTGTATACATAGAACATCGATCTCCCGCAGGATCGATGTCGCAACTGTAACGCGTCCTCTGTACCCCTGGCGTGTGGGTGTAACTCCCCTGGCTTGTTTAGGCTCCGATTCTCATCCCCGTTGCTTTCCGTCACGCGCGGGTTGTTTTGCTGGTGAGTAGTGACGACGAGTGTACAGCTGTAGGTGCAAAGTGAGGAAACCATGCTTGGGAATTGGTGAGTGGTGCTCCGCACTCGAGGTCCTCAATTTGCCCAAAATGCAACAAACGTACCGATATAAACGAACTCGTGCTCTGTGAAGTGAACCACTCTCCAGCAGAGAGCCGGCGTGGGCATCCACGTGATGTGTACACTAGACGCAGTTAGAGCCACAAACGACTAGGACACAGTCGTGCGACATGATGACAGTTCATAGGAATCCCTGCTTTGACGTCGCGCTTGCTGAATGCCCACGGACGTAGGTTCTGTGCCAAGGAAATTGGAAGCGCCGTGAAAGCCTCAATTTCCATCATACGTACAGTTAAAAAAAAAAACAAAAACAAATCTCAAGGTCTGGGTGTCCTCTCGCAAATGGTGGTCTTCTTTTACGGTCACGACCTTATATAACTTAACCCTAACCTCTTGCAAATGGTGGAGAGACAATGCTCCACTGATACCCTAAAAAAAAGGAATAGATTGCATCCTAACTGGGTTTTAAACATTTTTCAGAGCACTGCAGGAAGTTACTGCTTCACTCATGATATTCACGTGAGGGCAACGAGAATGCTTGGGGCACGTGAATTGACTTCAGTCACAGATGCGCTACGGTTTCCTTTCCCACAGCTGCCAAGACTCGGCCGATGACACAAATCCCCTATAGCATATAAGCTAAAGTTCAATATGGTGCTTTCAAACACTCAAAAGTTATGTGCGATTTGAAGCATACCGTTACATTACGCTCATAAATCTTATCATGATGCATAATGTGAAGATTTGAACTGTAATTATCCCCTATTTTTACACCTTGCACTCCTTCGGATGGCATATGCGGACATAAGAGGTATAAAGATATAATTATCTCATTTCATTCCATCAACTAGATTCCAAGATTGTTAATGTATGTAATAGTCTGTCTTGCCAGGAATCTGGTTTTTTGTGTGTCATGCATTCTTTTCATTCTCTAACGTACTTGCCGTAGCTTAAAAATTGGACATATATCCTCTTGAGGTAACTCAGTGTACAATAGTGCCAGTGCCAATCAGCAGAGCTTCTGGCGGCAAGCCCCATTCAGCTAGGCTGTGAATTCTGAATCCCCGAATGACGACGGATGGTCAAGTCCGGGCTGAGCCTGATCAGGCTGTCCTGCATCTATCTCTACGGTGCCTGTGCTGCCGTTGCGTCCTCTTGCCTCCTTCACTCTGAGGTGAAGGCGTTGATTTTCCCCTGTCAACGTCATCCTAAGTGCTGCCGTTGCATTCATGTTTCGTATGAAATCGGGAACGGCTGGTGGTCGACAATGCCATTAGAAGCGTTATGACGATGAAGTGTTTTTTCTTAGCCCGTAAAACTTCAGAATGGTCCTAACTTTTAGTGAAGGAGAGTCAGGTTCACCCCGCGTCTAGGGCTCAAGGAAATTTCGCCTCATTTTGCGACTCTGTCGCACCCGTCAGCGCTGAATTCGGCAGTTCACTGAACCTGATTCTTGGCTGCTGTGTATCGTGACTCCTGAAGATGCCTGCATTGGCTCCCATGGCGACGAATTTCGTGAAGGGTGGTATCGCAGGCTTAAGAACGAGCTCGATTTTCGTTTTTGCATGCCTTGTAGCAGCGCTCGTGCCGGCATGTTCGTCGATCGGACCCAACCCTAGCATCTCGTCTCTTTCCGCCTCTCGCGGCATCGCCTCGCCGTCGCATGCGGCGCCCAAGGCGGGTCCGCAGATCAGCAGCCTGCTGCTGCTACTGCCGCCTCGCGCGCGCAATCCCGTCAGATTCCATCTCCTCGGATCCAACGGCTGCTTCTCCTGGTAGGAAACGCGCAAGTTTAATCGTCTAATCTAGTCCGTCCGGTCTGATGATCCATGCTTCCGTTTCGTCTCCATTGTCAATCCATGGCGATCGTCAGCATCTGTAGACGGGCGTACTTCGCCGTCAACACCGCTAGTCCCCTCTCCTGATCTCTCCCCCCCTCCCCCCCTGGTATCATGTGCGTGGGTGGCGTGCAGGGCATGGGACCATCATGACCTGCTGCACGTGCAGCCTCTTTTCAACACCACCGATGACGCTGTCGCAGCAGAAGCAGCAGGAGCGGCACGAGGGCAAGCGTGGGGGTCCCATGGCAGCAGCAGCAGCAGCAGCGGCGGCAGCAGCGGCGGCAGTGGCGCACGCGGGGGGTGTTCAACGAGCGCGCTGATCTCGTCCATCGCGCCGTACTCGGGCGCGCCGCGCACCACAGCCGTCATTGCCACGGACCTGCTCTCCGGCGCCGTGCTGCGCTGCGAGGTGCGCCCTGCGCCGTTTGCCTTTCGCTGCTCGCCCGTCAACCCCTCACCTCTGGCCTCTCGCCCCTCGTTCCTGCCGCCTTCTCCCTTGGCGTGTGCCGCACTCTCCCCCCCGTGGAGCATGGCAGGTGCGCGTGGACGTGGTGCAGCGCGTGGCCATATTCCACCGCAGCCTCAAGATGGGCCTCTCCAGCCTCGCGGACCTCGAGGTGCTCGCCTTCAACGACCACGGTGAGGGCTCTGCTCTGCGCCATGGGGGGTGGACAGTGCGCCGTGTGTGGGGTGCTGTGGGGTGTACGGTGTGTCCGTGCATGTCCCAGCAAGAGCCTCGCGTTTTGCTACTACCTGTCGCTTAACCTCCTCTCTGCCAGTCCAGGTGTCCCAAGCAAACCCTGTCGTGCTCTCTTTCCCTGTACCTGCCCTTCTCTCCCCCACCAGGCGACGTGTTCTCATCCGTGGCAGGGCTCGCCTTCCTCTGGACCCTCACGCCCCTCGGCTCGCCCTTGCCCGCCCACCGCCAACCTGCGGCCTCCACGGCGCCACGTGGCGAGCAGGCATTGGAGCACCGCCTGCAGCACGTGCCGCTGGAGGAGGCGGCGCTGCTGCTGGCGGGCGGCGAGGAGGGGCGCGGCGCTGCTAGGGACGACCTGGGGGTGGGTGGTGTGGGTGCTGGGCTGGGGGGCCGAGGAGTGAGAAGAACAGGCTTTGTCAGGGTGGGTGCTGTGGGGTTGGCGTGAGGAGCGAAGGCAGGAGAGTATGGAGAGGGAGGGCTGTCAACAAGGGTCAGGCACAGCAGGGAGATAGCATCAGGAGGAAAGCATCAGCTGCGGAGTAGTTTATCGTTTGCCTATCACCTTCATACCACTCACCTCCGATCCTGTGCACGTGTCTCTGTGTATCTCGCACCCAAGCAGGTGGAGCGGTCAGACGTGTATGTGGTGAGGGGCGTGGCACCGGGGCAGGAGAGGGTCGCCGTACAGCTCATGGACGCTGACGTCACCGCCGCCGCTGCTGATACAGCAGGAGCAGTAGCAGGGGGTGCGGCAGCACTGCCATCGGACGCCATAACGCTGACGGTGGCGCAGGCCTTCTCCCTGCAGCCGCCCTCCCCCGTGCTGCTGCTGCCCGGCGCCCGCCTGCCCTTCCGCCTCCTCACCTTCACCCACAATGCTCTGCAGCGTACGCCACCCACACCCCCTTCTCCTCGCCCTCCTTCGACCTGTCCCTCACCCACCCCCCCTCCCCCGACCCCCTCCCTCCTCCCCTACCCGCACCTCCCTCCTCGCTCACCCTCCTCTCCCTTGTCGCTCACCCTCCTCTCCCTTGTCGCCCACCCTCCTCTCCCTTGTCGCCCATCCTCCTCTCCCTTGTCGCCCACCCTCCTCTCCCTTGTCACCCACCCTCCTCTCCCTTGTCGCCCACCCTCCTCTCCCGCACCGAGCATGCTGTTTTTTCCAGCTGCCGCTTCCCTTTCGCTTCAGTCACCCACTTTTCCCACCTCTCCCGTTTCAACCCCCATTCAACAAAATCTCCCCCTTCCCCCTCCCCCCAGCGGTGCAACTGCCCTCCCCCAGCTACGCGTGGGCAACAGGCAACACCTCAGTGGCATCAGTGCATCCTGCACAGGGCGTGCTGACCGCGCTCGCCCAGGGCGCCACCACGCTCACCGCCACTGATGTGCGCTTGGTGGACCACCACCAGGCCGCCTCCATCCACGTCGTGCTACCTGGCGACGTCAAGATCTTCCTCGCGCCACTGGCGTTGCACCCAGGGGACGGTGTGGGCGGGGGCGGCGGCGAGGGGGAGGTGTGTTCTGGTGCAGGTGCAGCTGGGGCAGGGGGTCTGCCTGGGGCTGTGGCGTGCAGGGCTGTAGCGGAGCCTGTGGCCAGTGGGGGGGACACGTGGCACCTTGTGGTTGGGCGGGAGTATGCCCTGTGGGTGCAGGTGTTTGCACACGGGTGGCCCAGCCGGCCTGTGCTGCTCACAGAGGCCGACACGCTGCTGCTGCGCTTTGACCACCCACCGCTCTGGACGGTCGTGAACGATGCTGCGCCTGCCTCTCTGCCTGCACAGGCGCCTGGTGGCATGGAGGGGGGAGGTGGTGGTGGGGAGGAGAGGAGCCGTGTGGTTGTGGTGCGCGGAGGGCAGCAGGGGCAGGGCGAGGTGCAGGCTGAACTGCAGTACCGAGAGGTGAAGAGCGGTGGGAAGGGGCGGGAGGAGAAGGTGGTGGCGGCGCAGGGGATTCGTGTGTGCGACCCCGTGCTGGTGCACCTGCCCTCTCCCACAGCCACTGCCTCTGCTCCTTCTTCTGCTTCGTCATCTTCCCCCCCTGTTCAAGTGGTGCACCTGCCGTGGGTGCCGCAGCTTCACTCTGCGCCGCCACCCCAACGGCAGCACCTGCTGCTGCTGGCGTCGGGAGGTGAGTCCAGGCACACGGGGTAAGGGCACGGCAGGGAGGAGCAGCAGGCGGAGGGGCGAGAGAAGGCTGCTGAAGGAGTTGTTCGTCTGAGTGGAGTTGCAGTGAGCTGACGACGGCTGATGCACACGGTGAATACATCTGCTTCTTTTACCTTTGGGAATAACCCCAAATCAATCCCAGCTTGCCATCTCACACCGTTTCTGCTTCTGATTCCATTCCATCTCATTCCGTCGCCCTCAAATCCGTGTACCCGGCACCACCACCAGGGTGTGGCGAGCGTGCTTCTGACTATGTGTGGACCAGCACTGACTCCACCATCGTCCACGTGGCGCCCTCTGGTTGGCTGACGGTGGCCGGGCCGGGTGTTACGATGGTGCGAGTGGCAGCAGCAGTGGACGGCAACAACTTTCACCAGGTGCGCGTGGTGTTCTCTGAGCTCAGAGGGGGAACAGAGGAAAGGGGAAGGGGGAAGGGGGATGAGAAAGCGGAGTGGATGAATCAGGGAGGTGGGAACTCAGAAATGTGTATTGCTGTTTGCAAGTTCTCTCTCTAGTCCCTGCTGAGCTCAGCCCATTGTGCAGTCACCCGCATACGATGTCTAGAATGCACATGCGTCATGCACCATACCACATGCTCATATGCAGCTCACCCATCCCCACCCATGCACGTCCGTACCACTCTTGCCACTGCCGCCATGGCACGGAAGCAGGTGGAGGTGCGGGTGAGTGAGCCACACACGATGCAGGCGGTGGGCGAGGAGGAGGGCAGCACCTTGCAGCTGAGCGTGGGTGTGGAGGCGCTTGTGGGCCACTCCCTGCTGCTCGCTGCCCGCCTCCTCTCCTCCTCAGGTGCGCTGCTGTTCTCGCCGCTTTCTCACACCCTCCTTGCATCCGTGCCTAGCCCCTCTCTTGATTGATTCTATGCTCCCCGCCGGACTGCCCTTCTTGATATTCTTCACTCTCTTCAGCCAACTCATTTACTCTCCACACTCACCTTCTTCCTTCTCGCCCGCTTCCCACCACCCTTCCCCCTCAGGAGAACCATACACCAACTGCACCGCTCTGAACCCATTCGTGCAGTGGCATCTGCAGGCACTGCTGCCTGCCACCCCTCCGTCTTTCACCCTCACTTCTCCACCCCCAATCGCCTTCATGCCACCATCCGCTCTCTCGCCCATCTGTGTGTGGACCTCTCTGTCCGCCATAGCACCTGGTCGCACACAAGCGATAGCTCTCCTGCCACTGCCGCCACACACAAAACCTGCTGATGCTGACGCTGGCAGTGTGGAAGAGAGGGCAGGGGGGGGCTCAGAGGGCGCGGGGCAGGGAGTGCAAGGGGAGTGGGCGGTGGCGGGGTATGAGGCGATGCATGTGGTGCAGGCGGGGGACGGGTGGCGCCAGGGCGGCTATGGGCTACCATCAGCAGCATCACCTGCTGTGCCTGGAAGGCAAGGAGACTTGTCTGCAGTAGCGGCAGCAGGTGCGGAGGCCCTAGCAGCATCAGCGCCAGCCGCAGCAGCAGCGGTGGGCATTGGAGCAGGGCTGTCAGTGCCGGCTCTCCTGCTGGCGCCAGGGGCGTCCATGGCCCTCACCCTCTCAGGCGGCCCTGACAGGTGGATCCCAGGCAGGCAGTTCCTGGAGCAGGTGCATGTGGCGGCTGTGGGGGAGGAGACGGGGCCGCTGGTGAGAGGCGAGGCGGAGGGGAGGGGAGGAGAGGAGCGGAGGGAGGGTGAGAAGGAAAGGGCGGTGGAGGTGGAGCAGGTGGGGGGGCGGGGTGGCAGGGGGTACGTGGTGCGGTGTGCTGGTGGTGTGGCGTCCAACGACAGCTACGTGAGTGCCAACTGTGCCGTGCCATCTGCCTCTTCTTGCCTTCCCTGCTCTGCCTGCCTTCCTTCCCCATGCGCCCATGCTTTCACCCACCTACAGATCGCCTCCTTCCCAACCACCTGTAATCTCCTCAATCGCTCAATCGCCTGTCCCTCTCCTCCCTTCTCTCTCCCCTTCCCCCACCTTCCCTGCTCCCTCAAACCCACTCCAGCGGGTGACCTTTACAAGAGGCCACCAGCCGTCCTCGCACGCCTCGCCGGCCACCCTCCCCTCGGCGTCCATGGTGCTGCACTGCGCGCTGCCTGCTGCTGCCGCCATCCTGCTCGACGACTCCGGTGCGCCCTGCCCTGCCCTGCCCTGCCCTGCCCTGCCCTGCCCTGCCCTGCCCTGCCCTGCCCTGCCCTGCCCTGCCCTGCCCTGCATCCCGCTCTCTTCTCAGCATCCCTTCACTCGCTTTGATATTCTCTCCATACACACTGGTATCCTTCTGGCATCCCTCCCGCTCACCCCCTGTACTTTATCCTCCGTCCCCCTTTCCCCCGCTTCTCTCTACTGCAGCTCGACTCCCTGCAGCCATAGCAGCATCAGCAGCCTCATGCCATCCACCAACGGGAGAATGCCACGTGGCACCAATCACCCTTGTGACACATCAGCACGTGCGGCTGGTTGCTGCAGCCCTTTCCTCGTCCATTGCACCCTTTGCCAACGCGTCCAGCCAATGGCTGCACACCACGTGGCAGCTGGAGGGGTGTGATGACATGGCATGGTGGGGTGCAGACGAGCCCGACAGTGGGGGGGGTTCAGGGGAGGAGTGGAGCAAATGGGTGCACACAGGCGACAAGGGAGGCGAGGTGAGGCGTGGGTGGGGGGTGGGAGGGGGCTGTGCTGTGAACAGTGAATGTGCTTGACAAGGGTGGATGGGCTGGGTTGCTGGTGGCTGTCAGTGCAGCAGATGAGTTACTCGCCTTGGCCTCTGCCCCTTCGGACCTCTGACCCCATCGTATCCACTTCCCCATGCCATGCCCTATCCTGCCGTGGCAGTGTCGGGTGCATGTGGATGTGACGGCACCACACGCCAAGGGGGGCTGGCTGCACATGAAGCGAGAGGGGCAGGGCGCCCACCGGGACGCCTTCCATCTGCGCGCCTCTGCCCTCCTGCAGGTGCCCTCCCCTGCCCTCTCTGCTGCTCGCTTCGCATCTTCTCTCTTCTGCCCGTGCTTTTGTTTTCGCCTAATTGCTACCGCTGCCTGCTGCTCCCACTCTCGTGGTGTTGGCTCGGTCGCTCATGCGTGTAGTCTCCGAATGCTCGCACCGCTGACTCTACCCCTCTCTCATTCCCCTGCAATGCCCGTGCGTGTGTGCATGCAGGTGGTGAAGGCGCTCAGGTTGGAACCGCAGGCCGTGCTGCTCGTCAACCATCCCCACGCCCATGTATGTGCCCTTCTCTTGCCTCTGTCTCTGCATGCATTCTGCATGTTTAGACCCTTGTATACTGTTCGCAGCAGTGCTGGTTTGCTCGTGCATGCATTCCCCCTCACACCTCTCAAAGCATCGTCTATTCCAACGCCTATTCATGGCATCCTATTGCTTCTTCCTCTCACGTCCCCCAGGCGGATGTGACAGTAACAGGGGGCACCTCCGAGCTCCAGTTTTTCATCTCTGACCAATCAGTGGCTGCCATTCTGCCACGTGGCACTGCAGCAGCAGTCCAGCTGGCAGCGCGTGCACGAGGCGATGCCACATTGACAGCAGTGGACGCTGGGCTCTCCCATCCGCTCTCTGCCAACGCCTCGGTACCTCCCCCATCCCACCCCCGCCTCACGTACCCATACGTGCTCTGCCCGCCTTTCTCCAACGCCCACTTCCTGCTGCGCCAGTATCTTCCAAGCTCCGTGCCTTCATTCCTGTGGCCAGGCTGTAGGATCAGCCCTGTCTTGCCTCCTACACCTTCTCCCTGCCTGCCCACACCCTCGTATCTCACCCTCCCTTCCCCTCCTCTCTGCCCCCACATCACCACCGCATGCCCCCATCCGCCAATCAGGTGTCAGTGGCTGACGTGGCATGGGTGCGCCTGCACCCCGAGGGCGCACAGCCGTCCACGTCAGCAGTGGCGGGCGAGTGGTGGGTGCAGGTGGGCGCCACGGCGCGCATCACAGTGACTGTGGGGGACGACCGCGGCCACCTCTTCCCCGCCTCACAGGTCCGCTCACCTCCCTGCGCACTTCACAATGCTGCCTTGCTGTTTAACGTTCACCACACGTCATCCTGCATTCTGCATGCTCACATGGCTTCCCTGAGCTTTCCAGTCGTTCACCTGCGCACTCTTCTTTCTTTCCTGCTCCCCCCACCTTTCCCCCTACCCTTCCCCCTTTTTCCTCTCCCCTCTCTCTCTCCCCCATCCCCCCTCGTGCCCCTTCTTCAGTTCGAGTGGATGGGTTTGGAGGCGCATGGCATGGCAGGTGTGGTCGCTCTGCACTTGCCCTGCTCGCGCTCCTCCTCTGATGGGGATGACGTGGCATGTTCTGACTCGCTGGAGCTCACAGGGACGGCTGTGGGAGTCACCACTGCCTTCCAGGTCCTCGCTTCCCCTGTCCCCTTCTTCAAGCCCTGTTTCCACTCTGCTATTTCCATTGTCCCTTCCTCCCCCCCCACCCCCCGCGCTTCTTTTCTGTCCACACACCCCGTCCCCATGCATCCACTGCCCTTTTATCCTCTTGAGCAACCTCTGTCATCGACTTTTCTCTTCACTGTAAATCCCTTGCTTGATCGTAAAACCAGCATGTAATCGCCCATTCCCCCCATCGGCTCCCATTCCCCCCATCGGCTCCCATTCCCCCCATCGGCTCCCAATCGCTGCTACCCGTGCCACTCTCCCCTCGCCCCCGTATTCCCCTGCCCCATCCCCCTTCGCCCTGTTCCCCCATGCACCTATGGGCGAGCAGGTGAGTGCGGGCATCCACCTGTCAACAAGGAGGGTGTTTTCAGACGCCGTGCGCGTCACGGTGTACGCGCCGCTCGCCCTGCACCCGCCCTCGCTCACCCTCGCCCCGGGAGCATCATACATGGTGCGCTCTCCTGCCCTCTCACGCTCCCCCTCCCCTCCCGCCCCATCTGCTGAACTCCCTTTCCCCGCTTGCCCTCCATTTTCCCTTTAAATGGTCATGCATACATGGTACCTATTCATCTGCTTTTCATCGTCTGGTATTTTCCCACTTCATCTCCCACTCACACCCGTCTCCTCCCATCCTCCCCTGCTCTCGCTGCCACGGCATCAGCTGCAAGCCACAGGAGGTCCCTCCTCCCCAATCACGACCATCGCATTCGCCTCCTCCAATCCTGACGTGGCACACATCGATTCGTCGTCCGGCCTCGTCACGTCTCGAGCGCCTGGCACAGTTGTCATCCGAGCCATGGCGCTAGGCTCGGCAGGGCAGGTGTTGAGCGTTGCCGAGTCTCGGGTGGAGGTTCGGGTGATGGAGGTGGTGGGTCTGAGTGTGGGCAACGGGCAGCTGGCAGTGGGGGAGGAGATGGCTGTGTTCCCCACCGGGGGGCATCAGGTGAGGCTTTAAGATTTGAATCGCTATCTTCTCATTCCTCTTCCTTGTCTCCCTCTTCACCTCTTCTATCCCTTCTCCTCAGCATCTTTCTCCTCTTCTTTTCCCCCCTCGCTCCCGCCTTTTCTCCCTACAATCAGGGAGAGGATCTGCTCTCGTTCGCACGGGTGTGCCACGGCTACCAGTGGAGTGTCAGCCACAACCAGGTAAGCCCACCACGCCATGTCACGCGGATCGCCTGTGGGCTGCCATCCCTTGCGCCCACCTCACCTATCCCTTGCACCCACATTGCCTGTGCCTTATTTCTCAACTGCGCCCACCTCGCCTATCCCTTGCACCCACATTGCCTGTGCCTTATCTCTCAACTGCCACGGTTTGTTCCGTCCCTCCCTGACTCCACTCGTCATCCCCGTCCACACCCCTTTCCCCACACAGCTGCTGCAGCTACAAACGGCGCCATCCCTTGACGCACAGGTGCCTGGCAGCACCTCAGGGGTGGCAAGCAGCAGCAACCGTGGGAGTGACAGTGCCAGCGACAGTGGCAGTGCAGCGGTGGACATCGGCTTCTCAGCGCGCATCACTGCCAGGTCAGCTCAGTGCAGCTGCAATGCACGGCAGAGGAGAGCGTCTCTGCTTGCTGCTGCTCCGTTCTTTTCCGCGCGTCCCCTATGTTCCATGCCATGCTCTTTCTTCTTCCTTCCAATCCCACCTCCCTGCCTTTTTTCTCCCATCGTCTCGACCACCTCCTACCCCTCAGGGCGCCCGGCACAGCCACAGTGGCGCTCACCTTCACCTGCTCCTTCCCCACCTCCTCCAAGCCCTCCGCGGCTCCTCTCCGCCGCTCCTACTCCGCTTCTGCCTCCATCTCCATCGTCCCCACGCCCCCTCTCGCGCTTGGCATCCCTGCCACGTGGCTGCTGCCCATTGGCTACACCTCCTCCCCTCTGCTCCCGCCCTCTCTCGCTTCCACCACCTCGGGAGGTGCGGCGAATGCTGCAGCTGCACGCTACTCCTACTCCCTGTTACACGACCAGGTAACTGCCCTGCAATCCCGCACCTCCTGCTCTCCCCTTTCCTCTCCTCGCTCCCCTTCCTCTTTCACCACACTGCACTGTTCTTAACACCCTCTCCCGCACTCCCTTACATCCCGCCCGTCATCGCCCCCAGTCACCCCTAGGCAGCGGACATGTGTCGCTGGCAGAAGGCGGGCGAATAGCAACGGGCGAGCGGGCAGCGCTGGGGTGCATTGCAGTGGCCGACTCTGCCAGCGGCCGCCACGACATCGCTGCCTGTGTGCGCAGCGCCCAGGTGGGGTTTCTGCTGCGCTCAGGTGGAATGGAGGCCTGGCCTGGCATTGGTGTCACCATTCCTGTAGCGCGTGCTCACTGTATGAAGTTCTCTTCGCAGCTGTGTGTGTCACTCTGCTGTGGGAAAGTGACAGCAGTTGTGAGTCACCATTACTGCCTCCCTGCTCTCCCTCGCCTTCCACTCACATTTTCGACTCCCATCTCCTGCTTCTCCACCCTCTCTTTTTCGTCCCTCCGCACCATTCACCCCCTACCTCCCCTCCCCCGCGCCACCTCCAACCCCTGTGCCCCATGGCAGGCAGCGCAGCTGACGGTGGGGGACAACGACTTCCCCTTCCATGCGGCTGAGCTCTCCGTGCCCGCCCAGCAGCTCTTCTCCGTTCACCTCCGAGACAGCCTCGGTAAGAAACAGGCTTGGTAAGATGCAATCACTGTGGAAGCCTGATTGTTCATAGGAAAGGTTACAGGCTCGCTGGACTAGGGGGTTAGCCAGTCTGCGCTGCGAGTCGGCGCTGCAAGTCGGCGCCTTGTAGACCAAGGCGCGCCTGTGGGCCAAGGCGCGCCTGTGGGCCAAGGCGCGCCTGCGGACCAAGGTGCGCCTGCGGACCAAGGCGCGCCTGTGGACCAAGGCGCGCCTGCGGACCAAGGCGCGCCTGCGGACCAAGGCGCGCCTGCGGACCAAGGCGCGCCTGCGGACCAAGGCGCGCCTGCGGACCAAGGCGCGCCTGCGGACCAAGGCGCGCCTGCGGACCAAGGCGCCTCTGCGGACCAAGGCGCGCCTGCGGACCAAGGCGCGCCTGCGGACCAAGGCGCGCGTATGGACCAAGGCGCGCCTGTGGACCAAGACGCGCGTGTGGACCAAGGCACTGCCAGTTGGCACTGCCAGACCTCACCCTCCAACAGCCAAAGAGTGCGCTCACCGGTTGGAGGCGAGCTCAACCGGGCGGCGAAGATGGTGAACTGTGCTCGTTCCCCTCCTCAACAAATAAAGAATGCGCTCACTGGTTGGAGGCGAGCACCGTAACACGTGTTTACGGTACCGTACTTGCGGCAGCCGATTTTAGTCCGAAAACATGTTACTTCACCACCCCCACACCCCGTACTACTGTATTGTATCATCGCCATTGCACCCCCGACAGAGATCATAGCACCTCAGGGCAACTAATTCATTACCATTGTGAGATTTCAGGGCCCTCACGATGCACTATCCTGAATCTACAGGGTGATATTTAGCCAAATCCTGAAATTTTAGGGCACAGTACCTAGCAACACCCTGAAAATCAGGGTATCAAAATCATGTATCCTGATAACGTAGGGCCTGCTACCCTTGCGCGGTTTGCACTGTCTGCAGGAGTGCCCTTCCTGGAAGCTTCTGATGCGCGGGTGGAGGTGGACGTGGACAGGCCTGACGTGGTGTCAGTGGCGGTGGTGCCCAGCCTACCAGGGCCTGACATGTGGCAGCCAGCCAACATGACTGTGGTGGTGAAGGTGTGTGTGCGTGTGCATTTTGAGGGAGGGGGGGGGGGGGCACTGAGGGGCATGGAAGTGGGAAACAAGGCACAGAGGTGCACCCGGTGCAGAGCATCTCTCTTCATGGCCGCCTCTCACTCACCACCCCTGCTTTCTGAGTTCCCCTCGTTTCCCTCTCTTTCCTCCTCACCCCCCTCATCCCTCTCCCCGTCTCTTCCCCATCCGACCGCCCTTCTCCCCCTCCAGGCGGTGCAGCAGGGCACAGCAGTGGTGCGCGTGAGGGTGCAGCCAGGGGCAGGGCGAGGGACACGTGGCAACCTGCCATTGGTGGACTTCATCACAGTGAGCTAAACCCTGGGCATGGGAAACGCAAGCTGGTGTAGCCACTCGGACAATCTGTGACTCACTCACTTGCTCACTCACTCGCCATTCACTCGCCACTCACTCACTCACTCACTCACTCACTCACTCGCTCACCCACTCACTTCCTCACTCGCTCCCGCACTCCCCCTGCCATGCCATCCCACCAGGTGCAAGTGGGCGCATACGTGTTCCCTCGGGATCCCCTTGTCCCTCTGGGTGCCTCTCTCAACTTCTCCCTCTCACACCGCCACCACCAGCAAGGTACATGCCCGCCACCTTTCATTTGCCATGTAATACCATATCATGCCATGCCATGTGCAGGAACGCAGAGTCAACCTGTTGTGTGGTTTCCCCACTCCTCCCCTTTTCTGTTCCTCTTGGCCCGCCCTTTTCCAGCCATGGGCGGCAGCAGGGGCGGCAGGTGGGAGAGTGGCAACAGCAGTGTGGTGGCGGTGGATGGCCGCACGGGGGAGGCAAGGGCCGTGGGGGAGGGCACCACTGTCGGTCAGTTGCCCCTTCACACCTGCCGCTTGCACCCACCTCACTCGCCACTCCTCTGCTCGTCCTCGCGAAAAAGCAGTTGGCTGATCATTGACCTTCTCCTTTCTTGTTTTTCTTGTTTCCAACCATGCCCTCCTGTCTTGCACAAGCACCTGCCCCTTCCTGGTCCCTATACCCTCGTTCGTCCCCCCCTCACCTGCACCCCCAGTGAGCTTCAACGCATCGCGCCTCACCTCATACACGAGGGTCACAGTGCTGCCAGTGGCGTCGCTGCTCGTCTCCCTGCCGCCATCCACGCCTCTCCTCTCCAACGCGCCTCCCCTCTCTGCTGTCGCCCGCCCCTTCCACTTCCCAGTCCAATTCAGGTGCAGTGCTGTGCTGTGCGCTGCCGTGCGGTGCTGTGCTGTTCTGTGCTGTGCCATTTAATGTGGTGCTGTGCTGTGCAGTGTGGCGTGTGGTGCTGTTTTTTGGTGCGGAGCTATGTGGTGGGAGCGGTTCATTGCAGCACTACACACAAATGCCCCTTTCAAACCCTCCTTTCTGAACCCCTGCTTTGTTGGCCCCTCCGCATTTGCCTCCTTTCTCACACTCCTCATCCCTTCCACTCTGCCCCACACCCTCGCATGCTTCCACGTGCCCATGCCTCTCCCGCACCCGCTCACCCACAGGGACTCCCAAGGCCGGGTCATGGGGCGACCCGCACAGTCCCCAGACGTGCCCTTCTCATGCCACGTGGTGCCTAGCATGCTCGGGTGAGTGAGGCTCTTGGTGTGATCAACCATCCTTCACCCTCTGCACTCCCCTCTCCCTCCACTACCTTCCCTCCACCATAATTACCTCACTTGTTTGCATAGCTCTTGTCCTCCTACCTCACACCCCATCGCCCTCCATCCCCCATCACGCTCTCCCTCACATTTCCTCTCATCGTTCCCTCCATCCTCCCTCCTCCCAAATCCCACACCGCCCTCCTCCCATGCTCTGCAGCACGGCCTTGCCTCGCTTTGACACCGCCTTGAACTCCTACATCTGCTCCTTCACCCCCGCCTCTCCCGCACGCATCTTCTCCTCTCTCACTCAATCCTCCTCCTCGTCATCGTCAGCACCACCAGCAGCAGGGGGGGCGAAATTGGGAGGAGTGAACAGAGACGGGGAGGGCAATGGGGGAGGGGGAGTGGTGGTGGTGGTGGCGGCAGTGGTGGAGGCAGGGGCAGCGCAGGGTGTTCGCCCGGCTGTGAGAGGCCAGGCTGCTGTGCCGTTTGTGGGGGGCTTTGATGTGCTGGGCGCAGGCGAGGTGAGGGGAGTCGCACTGAATGGTGCATGGCACATCACCATGTTCCAAATGCCACATGGGATCGAACGAACGATCTCTGCCATGTGCATTCGAAGTTAACACATTGAACTCCCCCCTTGTTGTTTACCTTAATTCGCATGGATCGGTTTCCCTTCTTTGTTTCTGCTAGACTCTTCCTCTCTCCACCTGACGGTCTCTGCATGTGTGTGCGTGTGCGCGAGTGTGAGTGCAGATCTCTCTGTCTCGCGCCGCCAACGCCACCACCATTCGCCTCGTTGGGAACACAAGTGAGAGGACTGCACTGCTGCTGACTCGATTGAAATAACATCAAGCAACTGCCTTGCAATCAAGCTGTTCAGCATCTTCAAAAATATCTGTGTGCAGCACATGTGACAGATTGAGGGCATTTGGTGCACCCATCACAAAACTTCTTTCACCAACATTGTTCAAGCTGCATATTTGCACTGCTGCGCTCGCACCAGACTGTTATTTTGTCTCTCTCGCTTCTCCCCTCTCCCACACTGCAGGCTCGGTGCAAGTGGCATGGCGGCAAAGATCCTCTGTGGTGGTCAGGAGGACAGGCCCAGTGTCAGGGCAGGGCGTGAAGGGAGGCAGGCAGAGCACGCGTGCTGCCAGTGCTCTCCGCAGCACCTCACCTGCTCCACAAGGGCTTGCAGCCTTGGCAGAAGAGACAGTGTTTGCCGTCCAGGTAGGCTTCGAGTTTGTCACGCCACTCTCCCCTGCACAAGTGCTGCTTGCTTCTTTCCTAGTTTTCTCAGCCATTCTTGATTCTGTCTCCTTAGTATCCTCATTTGCGCCCCCATCTCTCTCCTCTACTCTCTCGCCTCTCTGCTCTCTGCCCTCTGCTCTCGCCACAGGTTGTGCTTGGGGACCATGCAGACCACGCGCGGGCATCCTTCGAAGATGACATCGTTTTCACTCATCTCGGCACAGGTATTTCATCCGCAATGGTGTTGGTGGCTGCACAGCACTATCCAACCCATCAACACCAAGACTTGCCGACAGCTTCCCCCACCACTTGTCAGCCACTTTGTGGCATTTACTGCATCTCATCCACTTCATGTCATCCAATGCATGTCATCCACTTCATGTCATCCAATGCATGCCATCCACTTCATGTCATCCAATGCATGCCATCCACTTCATGTCATCCAATGCATGTCATCCACTTCATGTCATCCAACACATGCCATCCACTTCATGTCATCCAATGCATGCCGTCCACTTCATCTCATCCAATGCATGTCATCCACTTCATGTCATCCAATGCATGTCATCCACTTCATGTCATCCAATGCATGCCATCCACTTCATGTCATCCAATGCATGCCATCCACTTCATGTCATCTAATGCATGTCATCCACTTCATGTCATCCAATGCATGCCATCCAATGCAAGACAATCAACTGTCATCCCCATCACTCCCACCTCCCCACATCCCACCAGGGCAAAGGGAGACGGTGCACGTGACCTTCAATGCAGCTGCTGCACCGTCCACCCTCGTTCCCCTCAACCTGCTGTGGCTCGCAGCACTCACCGCCCTCGTCGCCTCGGCCATTCTCCTCCTCCTGCACCTCGTCAGCCCCGCCCAACCCTACATCCCCCACCCACAGCCCCCTCCCTCGCCTCTCCCCACGCCGTCTCCTCAGCGCCCGGGGTCTGCATTCCACACACCTGGTTCGAGTGCCTTCTCCCCGGTGTCGCCTTACAGCCAGATGGGGTCGCCAAGTCCCGAGTATGTGAGCTATGCAGGTCGCACCATTCACAGGGCTCCAGGGTACACCAACCCCATGGAGGACCCGCGTAGCATGTACTGATTTGTCGTGTGACTGCGTGTGGGTGTACTTTTTCGTGTTTCGATTGAATTTGAAGATGGAGACATGCCACCAAATTCCGTACACATCCATGCACGACCAGTGCTGTGAAACCGGCTGACAAATGGGATCAGTTTGAGGCAAAAAAACTCTGAAACAATTATAGCAAAAGGTAGAGCTTACTAGCAAAGGTGTATTGTTTTTGGTGTTTATAGCTGTCCAATTTCACTTATCACACATGAGCCACACGGGTTTGCAGCCAAGGCAAAGTGTTGCTGGCGTGCTGCCTTGAATTTCCAACTACATAGTGTAGATCCGCCCATATGCTGCCCGTCGATTTTCTCTCCAAACAAGTGGCTGTTTGACAAAAAGTGCAACGTGTTTGCCGGATAGATGACGAGTCGTGAGTTGGCAGCCAATAAGGAATGAGAGTCAGCCAGCCAGTGATAGAAGCCACAGTGGACTGACGATATTTGTGGCCTCGCTGCATCTGCCTGATGTCAAGTGCATGGCAGTCTAGTCTGAGACATTTTGACGCCCAATGCGCTTACACAGCTAAAATATTTTGGTTATTATGAGGTTCGCCCGGAGTGGTGAGGTTTGTGGACGGGTATGCCCCGTTAGGGTGAGAATCTCGCGGCTTTCTCCAAGCAGGCCTACCGTTCTTTCTACCACCAGCTCACCACACCTTCCTTCCCCTTGTGCAAGTTACGCCATGCCGTTTCCTTCAATCCGTCTGCAATTCGGTCCCTTGGATGTGGAGTGGTTAGTTGTACTATTCCGATTTTCCGATGCCGACGCGTCTTTCCTAAACTCAACAGGGTGACTTCCATGACAGGTCTTAAAAATCGAGGAGAGTAGTGTGTTCGGTTTTCTGAGTTGCTGGGTTACACTGCTCGAACCAGGGCACAGCCCGACTCCGACGATTTGTTGTGGACGGAAGTCCCTTGAAGAGGCAGGATTCTGGTTGCCCATGGCTGTTAGATTCGTCCAAATCGAAACGTCGGGACTCGGAGGCCGCCGGCTGTCCATCAAAACGAAACGTTCGGAGACCGATCCCGCTGACTCGAAACCACTTCCCATCAAGCTAAGGAATCTTGGAACACGGAATTGAACCGTTCGATGAAACCTGAGAACGAGCTTCGCTGGTCAGATTATGACGTCGTGCTTCGAGGAAAACCCCCGCTTCTAGATCAGGTGAGATGATGTTTGAAATATCTATCCATCTGCTCGACTCTGGAATGGATTGACGAACCACAGACGCTACTGTTTGGTCAATCTGGTTTAGATGCTGGTTGCTGAGCTAAACGAGGCAACCAGAAATTGGCTGCGTTAATAATGCTCAGTCTACCTATCTTTCCCGCAACAAAAACAAACCTTATTCCTGAATATTAATCGTACGGCTTTGTACTGTAGACGATAGAATACCATGGTTTCGTATGACATCGCAATCCTTGATTCACCGCGTTGCGCGCAGATTCATGGTCCCTGCGCTACGACCAGCCAAAGACCTCTCCTCGTGTTTCCTCTCGTTTGCCTCACTCCTCCATCCCACCCAGCCTACATTCCCATCAGCTCCAAAGATATTTTCACCAATTCCGAGACTCCTGGTCTCTGACCCTGCTCTTCAATCTGATCTCATCACCCATGGCCCAGTCAGCATCCGACGACTCTCTTCGTGAAGCAGCGCCTGGGATTCGAAGAAATCAGTCACTCGACGGCTCTAAGAAACGCAAGATCGATTCCTCGCTCGTTGAGTCCGAATCGCGCTCACCGAAACAGACGAGAATTGCCCAATTCGACTCTTTCACTCCATCCGCCTCCTGCCCCTTTTTCGACTTCCACACGGAAAAGCTCGAGAATTATTTCACCGTGGATTCAGCGACGCTTGGCGCAGGACAATTCGGTATTGTGAGGCGGTGCGTCGAGAATGCAACGAATCAGGCCTTCGCGTGCAAGACGATCAATAAAGACCGCTTGCTGACATCAGCCGCGAGGGACGAGGTGCGGCGCGAGGTGGCGGCGATGCGGAGCGTGGCGGGTCATGCGGGCGTGGTTCAATTGCGTGGAGTTTTCGAAGACGAGCGACAGGTTCACCTCGTCATGGACCTGTGCGACGGTGGCGAACTCTTTGACGAAGTCGTGCGACGCAGGCGGTTACCGGAGAGAGAAGCCGCGCTTATTTTTCGCCAAATCGCCTCCGCCGTCGCGTTCTGTCACTCGAAGAACATAATGCACCGCGATTTAAAGCCCGAAAACATCATCCTCGCATCCTCAGACACCTCACGACTCCCCACTGCCAAGCTCGCCGATTTTGGATTCGCAGTTCCCATCCCCCCCGGACATCGCGCGTGTGGCGTCGCGGGTTCGCCGTTCTACATGGCGCCAGAAGTACTGACAGGCGAGTACGGGGTGGAGGCGGACGTGTGGTCGATGGGCGTGGTGCTGTACGTGCTGCTGAGCGGCAGCCTGCCGTTTTGGGGCGCGGACGACAACGGCGTGTTCCGCGCCGTGCTGGAGGCCCCGCTGGACCTGACGAGCGGCGCGTGGGCGGGGGTGTCGGCGGAGGCCAAGGGGCTGCTCCGCTGCATGCTGCACCGCGACCCGCGCCGACGCCCCTCCGCCGCCAAGCTGCTCTCCCACCCCTGGATCCTCGTCCACGCCTTCGACGGCCGCGTCGTGCGCCGCGTCATCGCCGCACCCGCGCTCCAGCAGATCCGCATGGGGGGGGGCGCTGCTGCTGTTCCGCTCTCCGCCTAGCGACACGGATTCGATTTTTTTTTTTTTGCAAATGCGCCATTGCCATTTTGGAGGACTGTTACCAGGACTGGAGCACAGGGGGATGCCAACCCAAGCGTTTTGACGTTACAGGGTTACATACACGAAGAGCTTAGAGCCTTGCAAGTGCACCTCAGCTGCTCATTCTGGAGCCAGGACGCTTGGCTTGGCATGCTGCCTGTTGGTTGTTATTCATATATATTCCGTCAACGCTGATGCTTGAGTTGTTACAATGCGCAAAGCCTCTTTCTCAAATTCTATACCCTAAACAACAAATACTGGAACGTTAGAACTAGTTCAGAAAAGCCTGGTACTTTTTCATAAAATCTCTTGTTCTCTTCCAGTGCACCTCCTGAATCACATCCTACCGTATTCTCCTGGACAAAACACCCCCCCATAATTGTACACCCCCGGGTAGCTTGTGCGGGGTGGGTGTTATGATAGACCTCGTTTCTACTATACCCCCCTTTTTTGTCAAATTATATGCATGTCATATATGTGTAGGCTGTAGTTGGGTAGCCAAAATGGGGTACAACCCCATCAGGGTTTCACATTTGTACCAAACCCTGATCTAGTCAATTCATTCCTGCCACTAGATTCTAACATGATTTCAGAGCACTAGGTCCTTAGGACCGTCTTTTTTTTTCCAGGCCCACCTACTGTTGCGGTTACCGTGCTACCCTACGTGTTGCCTTGCCTTGCCTTGTGACGTGCTGCGCTGCGCGCGCCGTCCTGCAGCCCTCGCGCTGCCTACTGCTGCCCTAGCTACGCGCGCACCGCCCTGCAGACCCTGCACATGGACGGGTGGGGCCCAGCCCGCGTCAGTGGGCAGGACCGCGAGCGGTACTTCCTGCTGGTTGTTGATGACTACTCGCGTTACGCCACGGTCTTCCCCTTGCGAACCAAGGGTGAGGTCCCTGATGTTTTGATCCCTTGGATTCGCGCTGCTCGTCTCCAGCTCCGCGAGCGGTTCGGGACGGAGTTTCCCGTCCTGCGACTGCACTCTGACAGAGGAGGGGAGTTTTCCTCTGACCATCTGCAGAGCTTTTGTCGTGGGGAGGGCATTCGCCAGACGTTCACGCTTTCGGCCTCTCCGCAGGAGAATGGGGTTGCTGAGCGCCGCATTGGCTTGGTCATGGAGGTCGCTCGTACCTCCATGGTCCATGCGGCTGCCCCCCCATTTTCCGTGGTCGTTTGCGGTCCGGTACGCCGCGCATCAGCTCAACCTCTGGCCCCGTGTCTCCTTTCTGGAGACCTCGCCCACATGTCAGAATGTGATGTTTGTCTAGCCTGCAGTGGGGTACTCTATAGCGAGTACAACCCAATTAGGGTTTCCTATATGTATCTCAATTGCTGCTAGTGAAAAACCCCTCTTTCCTGTTTCTGATTCTTGCATAGTATTTCGACATGCTATCAGAGCAGGTCAACCCTCCTGGGTCGATCCTGTGGGTGGGCCCCACCCAATGCTTCCGCTGCTCTACTGCCTGTAGCGCGCCCCGGGCGCGTGCCGTTTTCTTCCTGCCGTGCGCTCGGAGCGCGCAACGTTTTTTCTTCCCGCCGCGCGCTCGGGGCGCGCGGCGGTTTTCAGCCCTGCCCGCCGCGCGCCCCGGGAGGGCGCGGCGGTTTCCTGCCCCGGTGACCCGCGCGTCGCCCTCCGTCGCCCGACACGGCCCGCGCGACCTGCGCCAGGCCCGCGCGCGGCCCGTACGGGCTGCGCCAGGCCCGCGCGCGACCCGTACGGGCTGCGCCAGGCCCGCGCGCGGCCTGTACAGCCCGCGCGCGGCCCGTACGGCCTGCGCCAGGCCCGCGCGCGGCCCGAGCAGCCCGCGCGCGGTTCGTCCCGCCTGCGCCAGGCCCGTGCGCGGCCCGTAGAGTCTGCCCTAGTGCCGCACGCCGTCTCCCAAGCTTCTGGCCGCGCCCCACCCTCGCTGCTGCCCGCGCTCCTGTGTTAGGGTTTGGGGGTGGAGAGTATGGGGGTGCCGGGTGTGTGAGCCGTCCCCTGCTCCTCCTCCTCCTCCGTCTCCCACTGCTGCAGCTGCCGCTGAGGGGGGTGGATGTGTTGGAGCCGTCGGAGTGGTACGAGGGGGGTGGGGTGAGAGTAGTGCTAGAGGTTCAGCAGGGAGTGTGTGAAAGGGGTGTGGGACAGTTGGGGGAGGTTGACCGGAGGTAGCCGACTCGTCGTCCGCAGCGCCTGAAGTCCAGAGAGCCACAACCCCCTGTGGCCGTGTAGTCCGGGGCTCTGCGCTTGGTAGCCACAGTGTGAGCATTCCTGGTAGTCCAAAGAGCCACGACCCCCTGTGGTCGTGTAGTCCGGGGCTCTGCGCCCGTTAGCCACAGTGTGAGAACTCATGGGAGCACAGAGAGCCAGCTGCACCTGTCGCCTTGTAGTCCGGGGCTCTGCGCCTGGTAGCGTCAGTGCTGCGCACTCTTGTTGCCCGTGTGTCTGCAGCTTCAGCCATCGCCTCCCATCTTCTCGCCCCCCACAGTTTCTCCTCCTCCTCACTTGCCCTCTGTGATAGCCTCTAGCTTTGCTTATCATTGTGAACTATTGCTATGCCTGCTTGTTATGCTGATTATACCCCACTTTGACTATGGGGGTGTGTCAGAATGTGATGTTTGTCTAGCCTGCAGTGGGGTACTCTATAGCGAGTACAACCCAATTATGGTTTCCTATATGTATCTCAACTGCTGCTAGTGAAAAACCCCTCTTTTTTGTTTCTGATTCTTGCCTAGTATTTCGATAGCTGCCCCCCATTTTCTGTGGCCGTTTGCGGTCCGCTACGCCGCGCATCAGCTCAACCTCTGGCCCCGTGTCTCCTTGCCGGAGACCTCGCCCACACTGCGGTGGACAAGGGAGGTTGGTGATGCGTCGGTGTTCCGGGTCTGGGGTTCTCGTGCCTTTGTCCGCGATACCACCGCGGACAAGCTCTCCGCCCGCGCTGTTCCCTGTGTCTTCCTTGGCTTTGTCCCTGACGCGCCTGGTTGGCAGTTTTACCACCCCACCTCGCGTCGTGTCTTCCCCTCTCAGGACGTCACGTTCGACGAGTCGGTTCCCTTTTACCGTCTCTTCCCCTACCGCACTGCCCCTCTCTCCCCCCCGCCGCTCTTCCTTGCTCCAAGTGCTCCCCAGGTAGACCCCCTCCCCGCTCCCGACCCTGCTCCTTCAGGTGTGTCTCAGGTAGACCCTCCTCCCTTGACTGCGCCGGTGACTCAGGGCCTGCTGAAGGTGGTCCTGCTCGGGGTGCTGCTTCTGGGGGTGCTAAGCCTGGGGGTGCGGAGCCTGGGGGTGCTGAGCCTGGGGGTGCGGAGCCTGGGGGTGCTGAGCCTGGGGGCGCGGAGCCTGGAGGCTGAGCCTTGGCGTGAGGAGTCTGGGGGTGCTGAGCCTGGGGGTACTGAGTCTGGGGGTGCTGCACCTGGGGGCGCTGAGGCGTCTGGTGAGCAGTCTCCCTGGAGCGGCCGCCTCCGTAGTCGCTCCGCTGGTGCCTCGCCGCTGGCCTCTCGTTGTCGTCTCCCTCTCTCCCCACAGCATCTGCGTGAGTGGTACGTTACCCGTCAGGCTCGAGCTGCTGGAGCTGGGGGCCCTGCTGCGGGAGGTGCTGGTCTTGGAGGCACTGGCGCCGGCGCTGTCCCTCTCTCCCCACAGCAGCTGCGTGAGTGGTACGTTAGCCGTCAAGGTCGCGCTGCTGGCGCTAGGAGCCCTGCTGCGGGAGGCGCTGGAGCTGGTGACTCTACTACTGGAGTTGTTTCTACTGGTGTTCCCGGAGCAGCTGGTCTTGGAGGTGCTCGTACTGGAGGTACTGGAGCTGGTGGGACTGGAGGTCCTGCTGGACCTGGAGGTGCTGCTGTCGACTCTGACGTTGGGGGCCCTGGAGCTGGAGGTGCCGGTTATGGGGGTGCTACTGCTGGTGGCGGTGGAGCTGGAGGTTCTAGAGCTGCTGCAGGTGCTGGCGCTGGAGGTTCTGGAGCTGTTGGAGGTGCTGGCGCTGGTGGCACTGGAGCTGGAGGGTGTGGAGCTGCTGCGGGTGCTGGCGCTGGAGATTCTAGAGCTGTTGGAAGTGCTGGCGCTGGTGGCGCTGGAGCTGGAGGTTCTAGAGCTGCTGCGGGTGCTGGCGCTGAAGGTTCTGGAGCTATTGGAGGTGCTAGCGCTGGTAGCTCTGGAGCTGGAGGTTCTGGAGCTGCTGCGGGTGCTGGCGCTGGGGGTTTTAGAGCTGCAGGAGGTGCTGGAGCTACAGGTGCTGGTGGCACTGCACCGCCGCCCCTGTTCTTTGCCCCGCCGTCACCTTCGTCTCTGCCACCGCCTGGCTCCGTGCTTTGCCAGGTTCTTAGCCTCTCGTCTTCTAATGGTCTTCCGTTACAACCTGGCTCACCGCTGCATGCTCCTTCACCTTACACTGAGCTAACAGGCGGTCTTGCTGAGCGTCGTGAGCCTGCGTCTCCTCCAGTCTCGCCTGTTCGCACTGTCCACACTGGTCGTATTGGTCGTCGTGTTCCTCGTGAGCGTCCGCCGACTGTCCCCGGCACACACCTCATGGCCCTGCGTCCTTCCTCTGCTCCGCAGCGTGTTCCCTTGCCGTCCCCTCCTACGTCTTCTCTGTCTGACAGTCCAGAGCCTGAGTCTGACCGCGCTCGTGCTGCTCACCCTACTGTCACGCGTCTGCTCGCCACTGTTGTCACTGACCCGTCGTTTGAGTCTGCTGCTGCGTCTGCCTTCGTCGCTAAGCTTGTTGACTTTGCTGCTGCCTGTCGTCTAGACTACGCCGCTAGTCTTGTTGCTGAGTCTGAGTCTGTCTGTCCTCCGTCCGTCGGGGGTGAGTTTGCTCTTGGCACGGATGTCTTTGAGGACAGGCAGGAGGACCTTGAGTGTCTTGCAGCCGCTGCGCCTCATCTCGTGTCTATGCTGCTTGCCCCTGAGGGAGACCCGGATGCACCAGACATCCCGACTCCGCGTTCTTACGGTGAGACGATCGTGGGTCCCTACTCCT